CAATGACGCCGGAGGGCATTTCTAATCTAAGCGGGGTCTGTATTTTCTTTGCTGAATCTTGCCTCTCTTCACCCCTACACACACGACAACTAAGACACTCGATACCAACAGTCGCCATGGTATTGGCCAAGAGCAAGCAGTCGGTCGGTCTGGGCAATGCCCTCATGAACGACCGCTTCAAGAACAAGAACTCCAATCAGCACAAGGCCAACGCCGGCGGAATCCAGAGAAAGGGCCAGAATGGAGAGACATACATCACCAACAACAAGCAGGCCGCTGCCTACGAGAAGATGCGCTCCGTCACTGAGCAGGGCGATCTGGACGAGTTCTTGTCCACCGCAGAGCTGGCAGGCACCGACTTTACCGCCGAGAAGATGAACAACGTCAAGATTATCCACAAGGACCAGAAGAACCCTTATCTCTTGTCTTCGACCGAGGAGCGCAACGTGACCAAGAAGCACAACAAGAACAGAAGCCGTCTCACCGTCCCCCGTCGCCCGAAATGGGATGCCACCACTACCAAGGACGAGCTGAACACGCGCGAGAAGGAGGCCATGATCGAGTGGCGCAGAGACCTTGCCGAGCTGCAGGAGAACCAAGACTTGCTCCTGACTCCCTTCGAGCGCAACCTCGAAGTCTGGAGACAGCTGTGGCGTGTCATTGAGCGTTCCGACCTGGTCGTGCAGATTGTCGATGCCAGAAACCCTCTGATGTTCCGCAGTGAAGACATGGAGTCCTACGTCAAGGAGGTCGACCCCAAGAAGCGCAACCTGCTGCTCGTCAACAAGTCGGATATGATGACTCTGGAGCAGCGCCAGACTTGGGCCAAGTACTTTATCGACAACAACATCAACTTCCGTTTCTTCTCCGCAGAGCTCGCTCGTGAGCTGAACGATGCCAAGGCTGACGAGGAGGAGATGCAGGTTGAAGAGGAGGATAGCGAGGACTATGAGAGCGAGGAAGACGAGGTTGCCGAGGCACTGGACGCCGAGGAGGACGCTCTGGAGCAGGAGGCCGAGAAGCTCGACATCCAAGATGCACAAGAGGAGGACGCTAAGTGGGTGGATGAGGAGACGGTCGACGACAAACATGCTGCACCCGTATCCGATGTCATTCCCATGTCGCTCGAGGAGGCCACGCGCATCTTGACTACCGAGGATCTGGAAGCTCTCTTCTTGGAGCACGCTCCCAAGATGGCTGCCGCCACCGAGGACAAGCCTGCTCGCAAGGTACAGATCGGTCTGGTTGGTTACCCCAACGTCGGTAAATCGTCCACCATCAACGCTCTGCTCGGCGCAAAGAAGGTCTCCGTCTCTGCCACACCCGGTAAGACGAAGCACTTCCAGACTATTCATTACTCGGATCAGGTCGTGCTTTGCGATTGTCCCGGTCTCGTCTTCCCCAACTTTGCCTTTACAAAAGCAGAACTCACATGTAACGGTGTCCTACCCATCGATCAAATGCGCGAGTTCACCGGTCCCGCAACACTTGTCGCTACTCGTATCCCAAAGCCTTTCCTCGAGGCTGTCTACGGTATCAACATCAACATCCGCTCTCGCGAAGAAGGCGGTACCGGCACACCAACTGGTGAGGAGCTGCTGCGCGCATACGCCGCCGCTCGTGGATTCTTCACCCAAGGTCTCGGTCAGCCCGATGAGAGCAGAGCCGCCAGACTGGTCCTCAAGGATTACGTCAAGGGTAAGCTGCTGTTTGTACACCCTCCTCCAGCAGAGCCGTCGATCGACCACAAGCACTTCAACCGTGAGCTCTACGACTACAACCACCTTCCTCAAAAGCGACGAGCACAGCTCGCAGCCATGCACTCGGCTGCAATGCATCCCGAAGCACAAACCGGTGAGGAGCCATCGCTCATGGAGAACGACGAACTCGACATGGTACCTATGAGTGGAGCAAAGACACAACGGATGGACAAACAATTCTTTGCACCCGGACAAGGTAGAGGAGAGCAAAATCTGCCATTCCATCACAAGTATACGGAGCAAGGACAAAAGAAGGTAGAAAACACTGGTGGCAGAATGTTGACAGGCCGCAAAGCTAAGATCATGCTGGCTCTGGAGAAGGACATGAACCCCGACGACGTGAAGATGATGATGTCGGGCAAGAAGCACTTCAAGGCCAACAAGAGGGCGCAAAAGAAGGTCAGAAGCGAGTACGACATCTAGGGAATGCATCTTCGGGTTTTGCGCGATTCTCATTTTTACACTGGTTCACGGCATGCTGGGGCGCTTTTTTATGGATATCCCTAAGTTAGTTATCTCGTTATTCTTCTCAGGCTTGGACGGTTATGGACGACAAACATCAAGTGCAGTCAAGTTTGCAACCAAAATCTCTCAGTGTTTGTCTCGTCAGTCATGGTAAATCATGGTAAATCACTTTTTTCACCTCTCGCATCCTCAGGGCCGGCAGATATACAGCTATAGATCTCCGGACCTATACTAATACTGGACAATGCTCCATTCCATCTGCGTAGGCTTAGACTTGACCGTGGTGTCGTTGAAGGACAGGGAATGGTATAGCCAGGGTCATACCCAAAGCAAGCATGTGAACTGCGCACAGACCTTGATGCCTCGAGCACCTTGAAGGGCATCCCCAATTGTCAATGTCGGTGACAGCAAGCACAGAATGTCATTTCGGCCACCGGCGAGTCCGGTTCCTGTTGGCTTCTACTCACGATCGACTCCAAACCTTCCGACCTTGAGGTCATTGACTACCAACGAAAGAGAGAATGAGGGAGGCGCGTCGACTTTGACCTCACCCTCCGAGGCTGCATCCATCGAGGACTTTTCCCTGGACGCTCCTGCCTCGATCGACTCTGGAAGTGAAGACGAAGATGGCGACTCGATGCCCTCGCCACGGCAGCCCATGTATCAGCACAAGCAATCGCAATCGCATACCTACCTAGGCCCGGCAACCTTTGCGCCGCCCTTCTACAACCGTCCTCCCACACCTTTACCGCCCAGTCCGTCGTTGACGAGTCTGCTTCGCCCGACCTTCAGCACACACGCCTCAAGACCCACAACACCAGATCCAAGCAGCGATGAAGGGACTAGCCAGACTCCCAACAGTGCAGCCGCGACCACCCTCACCACCTCCTTCCGCACCGCAAAGCCCATTCCTCGCGCCTCGCCAAAAGTCCCTACCTACGAATACTATGGCTTCACGCTGTACCTGACCTCAACTCTCGGCTTTGCAATCTACCTGCTCTGGAGTTATCTGCCTTCTCCGTTTTTGCACCAGCTGGGCATCTACTATTACCCAAATCGCTGGTGGAGTCTGGCTATCCCGGCTTGGCTGGTTATGCTTGTCGTGTGGATCTACATTGCATTGGCTTCATACAACACTGGACACTTGACACTCAAGATGCATGCTGTCGAGTGCTTGGTTGACGATGCTGCCAACATTGCCGTTGTCGATGGCAAAGGAAACATTATTCGCAAGGACGACGAGGGCAGGTGGAAGGCTCATCGGCGGGACAACAGTGCTGGAAGAAACATGCCGCCAAAAGACTTGCAATGGGATACGCTGTGGAACGAGGGCACGGATGCTGTCATGGATGTGCCCATTGGAGGTGTGTGTGAGATACTCTATGGCCAGCCTGACGATGACGACGATGATACCATGTTATGACATACAAGCATATAATACAAAGCTCTCTCTGGACAACGACCCTGGGCTCAAACAACACTGTGCCTTTTTATAGCCTTATGAACATGATGGGAAATGCGCTCTGCTTGATTCGAGCTTACAGCCGAGCACGAATCACGATCCCCCAAGATCCTGAACTGCAGGTAAAAGGCGAACCGAAACTACCCTCATTTCTCGTCTGCTCTTTCTCTCTCTTCAACACGGACCTGCTCCTCGTAACTTTGTGTATCCCTACAGTCCATGTATTATCACAACTCCAGGCTGAGAGCACGCAAACCAATGGCTGGATGTGGACCCCAGATGCGTGGTCTTCTGCCACGGCTTACTTGGACTTTCTGCGTGAAGACAATCAGGAGCCTTTTAGTCTCCTCGTCACAGGCGACACTCAGGTTCAGACCAATATCGCCACTGGGTCTGGTAACTTGACTAAGAGACTTACGAACGAACTTGTTTTCCACGTAAGGTGGAAGAATAAGAGAGTGCTTGTGGTCCTTGTCTAAGAGATTTAGATGGTGTGTCGTAGAAAGCCACGGCTGTTCTACATGAATAATCCAGTCTAACCGCCGAGTGCTTAAGTCTACCATAGAAGTCTCGAGGATCTACGTCTAATTACTTTCTCGTCTCATTTCTAAGCAACCAGTCGTTGCACTGTTCTTAAGGACAGGCGATCCGGGATATACCGAGTTCGATAGGGAGTACCTTAGTTAAGTTACTAGACCTAGTGGTGATCTTGGAGCCTGGGTGTCGCCTACGATGAGCAGACGAAATCACTCGTAGTTGTCTTTACGCAAAAAGTCCAAGTAAGCCGTAGCAGAAGACCACGCACGTTCTACATGTTTGTGCCATTAAGCCCCCGAGCCTCTTTTAAGTACACTATAGTAGGAGACCGGGCATCTAGGGTCCACGTCTAGCAGTTGTCTTACATGCTCTCTCCGAGTGCAGTCTTGTTTTTGAGGAATATTGTGTATCTCTATAGTCCATGTGTTGTCAAGGGCTAGGTTGGAAGAGATCGGTTAGGAGGCATCATCGACCCCTATCTTGTTCTCCCCGTATCAAATGACTGTTATAGCGTAGCCATAAAAATACACAATACTTTACAAAACAGGGCATTGTCCAAGGAGAGATCACACTGTGGTGCTATCTCTGTGGTAAACGCAGCAGAAACATAAACTATACAAATGCAGGATACTTTTAGGAATGAAGGAATGTCCACTGAGAGTCAGTGTATATGGTTATCCTTGTTTGGACATGTCTTCAAACTCACAACGATTGTGTAGTCCTGCAGTCACATAACACAAGAAGAATGTTTGCTGGAGGAGAGCTTTAAATAAAAATTATCTGTACTGCAGCTCAACGTCCATCAAAACTTTCAACAAGCCTCCCTTGCCCTCCCAAACACTGCCGTACTTCATGGTGGCATCAATGATGAGGCCTGCCTTGCAGAGAGCCAAATCCACAACGTTCAAAGAAAAAGAGCCAGGCTCCTTAAACAACGCTCCATCTGACGAACGAGGGGTTGGCCCTAGGCCGGCGCCCCTTTCACGTCCCCAAGCCTGAGCCATCTCCGTGATCTGCGTCAAGAACGCCAGATCTCCACCCTCTGGGTCCAGCACAAGGAGCCAACCCACCAAATCCTCCACATCGTTCCTTGCTGGCGAGATCTTACTCTCTGCCTGCCGACCGAGAATTGTGGCCATGCATTTGGCCCTCGCAGCCCTCACCCNCCTTGAATCTCCCATCCTCGCCGCCATTCCAAGCGCAAGCAACTCCCTTGCACATATATAGTGCATGTCTGGGTACAGGCGCAAAAGAACGACCAACCATCTCACCAACACGATGCGGTGACCAGCCGCAGTTGGTGCCATTGGAGGGTCGTAGTCTGGTGGTGGCTCACTAGGAGCGAGAGCGCTGAACTCGAAGTTCGGCGACAGTGGTATGGGTGTGGCAACCACTGTTGGAGGCGAGATTGAGCGACCTCGAGGGTACACTCCAGACAACGGCGACTCATGCTCGGACTGCTGTCCAGACTCACGATCTTCTTCGAAAACGATCATGGCCATGTCGAAAGGAGATGTCGGTATGAGACCCGGTGATGTCGCTGGCCCAGACCCAGCCGCAGCCCCTGACTCTGGGTTTCTATAGGGTGGTGGTAGGGACCCACCCCCTGAAATCTCGTCATGCTTGCGCTTGACCCCTTGACCGCTGCCTTCTTCATCGGCAGGGCACCAGCCTTGCGCCTCCCATGCGTCTACGACCGCATGTCTCCCTTCGGAGTAGAAGTCGGTGTATTTGACGCTGAAGCCCGTCACGGAGGTATTCTCAAGAATGGTCGTGACCCGAAGAAAGCCATGAAGGGGCGAGGGTTTGTAGGTGACAAAAAGGTCGAAGCGAGATGCTTCGGAGAGGATCTTGAACTTGCGCAGCAAGCTCATGGCTTCTGGCAATATTTGACCAGAGAACGGCAAGCTGGGCATAAGAACCGAGGACTTGGCGGCAAGCGAGAAGGATGTGCGCACAAGTGGATGTGACGGGTCCACTGTGGCATGTTCTGATGTATTGACGACGTGCAATGGCACAACGCCATCTGCCATGGCCCAAGAGGCGGGACCAACAGTCTCGATGTCCAGAGACTCAACAGGCACGAGCATGTATAACATGCGAGGTTGTCTTCGCCTAACCAAACGAATCTCTTGCGTGAGCACCACAAGGAGCTTTTTCGCCTCATCGTTGTGGGCGATCCAAAGTTTGAGGCCATTAGTGTCGGCCGAAGGGTGCCCTAGATGCTCCCGATCGTAATCGGTATATGCTGGGTTGCCTGTTTTTGAAAACAATGCAACGACGGGCTGCTCGTAAATGACCCAGTCCAGGTTGTCGGATGGTGAGAGCTGGGCTTCTAGAAGCCTCATAGCTTCTGGATGTCTCGACATGGTTGCAAAAAGGGTGTTGTTTGCTTGTGACCTATGGTGATACGGTACAGAGAATAATGGTGCTACATAGAAACAGTCAGTCATATGCATACATGATGTAGGTTTCACGGTGTGATTGGAGAGAGAAAGAGTGAGAATGGAGAGTGTTTTGTATTGTGAAAAGATAAAAATTGAGAATGTACCCCTGTGCCATGAAAGACACAGGATACCCTCCCACCCGGGCTTTGTTTTATGAGGCAGCCCTGACCTAGTACCAAGAAGCTGACACACTTGGACATGCGTCGATGGCGCGAAGCCACCGGACATGCGTCAAGCGGAAAACAGCGACTGATCAACTCGGACAAGCTTCGGTCGCTGCTCGAGATCAAGACCGGATCAGACACCCTTTGCAGGAATGCGTTGATGCATATATGTCAAGACGTTCGAGCGATGCTAGGAAGTGTTGCGTCGAGGAAGAAAAGCTTAAGACTCACACAAATATTCTTCAGCCGGGTAGTTGCCTACGGAGACTGGTCAAATAATGCGAAGCCTGGTACGATGAGGAAAAGAAGGAAGGAGCGTTTGACGCGCGCGCGTTTGTATGATTATATAGGCAGGCGCGTCAGCCTGTTTGTTTGCTCGGAGAGCAAACATCGGAGTCTCACACGCGTCAATGTCCGTCACGCGTGGCTGTCAAAATGCACAATACTTATGAATGTCAGAGTAGTGTCCATGGAGAGCTGTAATCTTTCAGACTCTCTCGGACATGTCTCTAGCTCACAAAACAACTGTGCATTTCTATAGATGAAAAGATCATCGGTGTCAGCACGGGACCAGGGACAGTTTGGCGAGTCAAGAAGCTGGGGAGGTGGCGCGGCTGCCCCATGTTGATCTGATATGTGGCATCAAGCTCCCCCTTGACTCGAGGGGTAGCGCGTACACGGCTTCACTTCTATGAGATCTTGATTTTGTGACTGTCTGATGGCCCAAGGGCACCTGACCTTATTCACCAGAAGCTGAGAGGTAGCGCGCAAATGGATGCAGCTTGGACTCAGGTCTACAACCTGATCGAACAGGTGCACCAAGTGCCGACGCAGCTGTTATTGGCCGTTGGTTGCTTGTCCGCCCTTTTCTTTGCTATTCTGGTATTGAACCACCCCAAAGCAAGCAGACTCGCGGTGATCCTTCTAACTTCAAGCGCANNGCTATATCTCGGCCTGTTCATTGTCGCTCCTGTACCACGACCGCCGCATGAATCCGAGAAGAAATACACAACTATCCTGCCCGATGGATCTATCAGCGACCCCGAAACACAACCATGTTGGTACGACCACCACGTATCCTTGAAGACGCAGGCTCGCAATGGAAAAATTGCTACAGGCGACGCTTTCAGGCCCACCCAGCCCGAGGTCCTGGTTACAGTTGTCGTGCCCGCATACAACGAAGAGCAAAGGATGAGCGGCATGCTCGAAGAGGCTGTCGAGTACCTCCAATCGACCTTTCCACAGTCGCTGTCATCGCAGTCCACGCCAAGCGATAAGCCTAGAGGCTGGGAGATCCTCGTTGTGAACGACGGCTCTACCGACAAGACCATCGACACGGCCCTGTCATTCGCTCGCGACCACCAACTTTGTGCAAACCCACCCACACCAGCTGGCCCATGGTCCTCCAACGATGGCCCTAAGACGCGATCCAAATCTGCTCCCAAAGTCGAAACAGTACCCACCAACATCCCTCGTGGCAGCATTCGCGTCATATCTCTAGAACAGAACAGNGGAAAAGGCGGCGCCGTCACCCACGGTATGCGTCACGCAAGAGGAGCATACATCGTGTTCGCCGACGCCGACGGTGCTTCTCGCTTCTCAGATCTGGGCAAGCTGATGGAGAACTGCGATCGCGTGGCTGATGCCAAGGGAAGAGCTGTTGGTGTTGGAAGCCGAGCACATATGGTTGGTAGCGAAGCTGTTGTCAAGGTAAACGAGTTAAAATTGCTGAATCTGGGCATCATCACTGACTCTCTCACANNGCGCTCTTTCTTACGAAACGCTCTCATGCACTCCTTCCATCTGCTACTCCGCCTTCTTACACCTCCAGCCACATCATCAATCAAGGACACCCAATGTGGCTTCAAGCTATTCACACGACCTGCTCTTCCCTACATCATTCCATACATGCATAGCGAGGGTTGGATCTTCGATGTCGAGATGCTTATGCTTGCAGAGAGCGCTGGAATCCCAATGGCTGAAGTAGCCATTGGTTGGAAGGAGGTCGGCGGCAGCAAGCTGAATGTTGTCTGGGATTCTCTGGGCATGGCATGGGGCCTGGCTGTTTTGAGAGCTGCGTGGATGGTCGGTGTCTACCGGAGGGACATCTGATTTGACCCTGTCTAGCATTTTCGCCATGTATATCCATTTCACCATAGAGAAAAGCAGCCTTGATTCACATTGTTCACTTAGCGTCTTTCAGAGCAGGAAGAATTTGAAAAAGTTGACTCGTCCTGCCATGCCATTAAACGATCGTTGTTCGAGAAAGAGAATATTCTCGTGGAAGGCGCAGGAGCTACGGAGACCTTGTTTGATAGCTCTCTGCAGATATGATCGACCACGAAAGCAGCTGTGCATTTCAGTAGCGCAACAATATGCCGTAGATGAGGGTTGAATGTATTCTAATTCGGCACATGGAGAGGAAACAACAAAGTATGCAGAATATCATGCTACCTGGAACATGGTCCAGTGAGGTAAAAACTTTTACATCTCGAGGATCGCAACAGCGGTCCAAGCCTCATATATCAAGGACAGCCACCTCAAAGGTCGGCACAGGTCTTGGGATACTGAACAGCTCTCTTGACCCACTTCTTGAGTTTGTTACCGTCAATGGAAACAACCATGTTGACTTTCTGGAGGTTCTGAGCACTGGGCTTGAGAGCCTCCTGGTAAGCGTGAATGTTACCGTAGCTAGGGCTGGAAGGAGCAGTGTCGACATCGAGGTAGACTTGATTGGAGTATTAGCAAACGATTGTCAGGAATGTATACAAGAGATCTACTTACAGCTTGTGGTGTTCTTGACGATGGTAGGGTCCAGCAAGATAGCGGCAGCGGTCTCGTCCCCTATATATTGTTAGCACTTGTGTATTCAGACAGGACAAGGAATACATACAAAGAGGGAAAATGGTGCCGTAGTACTTGTGCATCAAAGTAGAATAAGGGTTCTTGACCTTGTAGATATCATCGAGGTACTCCTGGGTGACAGAGACCTGGTTGGCAACATTGCCAGCGATGGCTGGAAATACAATCAGTTGCCGTGCTTCCTGGAGGGGTAGGTTTCTCGAATTCTGGGAATGCCTTACTGATGTTGGGGAAAGGAGCGGTAAGAGCGATCTTGGTGCCCTCAGGGTCAATCATCAGATTGATCTTGGAAATTGTAAGTAGATGCTGCTTGCCGGCTTCTTGCTTGCACTTACATCAGAGCTCCAGTCGGCTTGCATCACACTGCCAGTGACTTGCAAAAGGTTGTCATCGATGTAACCACCCTAACAAAGCTATCAGTACTCTTTCAATATTCGCAGATATCAGGACTCCATACCATGATGATGAGTTCCTTTGCGTTCTTCGCAAAGTCAGGATCCATGCGAACAGCAAGAGCAACGTTCGTCAAAGCACCAGCCGAGTAAATCGAGACTTGACCAGGGTACTTGCGAACTTGCTCAATCATGAACCACGCTGCGTCCTTGGAGGCGAATGTGATGTTGGGGTAACCTTCGTAGAAGGCTGCCTTTGATACGCGAGTTGGGTTGCCTGAAGTCGGGTCGTTTCCCAGGGCTTCGTAGGTCAAGTTCTCTGGAGCAAAAGCTCCTTCCCAGGCTCTAATCGAAAGTCAGAATATCTCTTTGCATTGGCGGCCCAGTGATTTGGAGAATTTGGTGGGAAAGGGCAGGAGGGCAGAGGAATACCAAAACTCTTGTTTTCGAACTTTGGGCATTCGTTTCTCGATCACGGCTTCAGTTTACTTACAGTTTGCCATGGACCATCTCCCACTGCGAAAGATATTGTCAGTGTAGTTCTCGTGTCCACCGATCACCTGGCTTCACTTACAGTCTGGAACAGTTCGGGGGTGTTAAGAATAGGGTAATCTGCTCCCTTGTGAACAGGGATACAAGATAGATTTCCGATCTCAAGAGTAGCAAGAGCATGTCTATAGGGAACCTGATTAGTCCATGATCTCTCAATGGTTGGTCTGATAGCATTACAATCCACATTGCAGTGCCCACGAGTTTGCAGTATCGGAAACCAGACCGAGAACATCCCATCCCGCATCAAGGGCCATGAGGTAAGGAATGAAACCCGCAGTGCTCCAATCGTTGTCCATAATGACCTTTGGCCTACTGCTGTTTGTGGCCGATCTTTCCTGGAAACGCTCCAGAGGAGAGGCTCCAGTCAGACTGGCAGCAACCAAAGAGGTGGCAACGAAGAGTTTTGAGAACGAGGGAGACATTGCAAGTAGAGAATCACAATCACAATCGGCTTGATAAACACAAGTTCCACTTGCCTGCTGGTAGCATCTTTATAGTCACACCTACATGGCGGAAAAATCGAAGTCTTGGCGCGTGCTTATCTTTAACGATGTTCAGGTTCGACTTTTGGCAGGTCGATGAGTTGCGGGCGAGCGCCCTGTCGGGTGGCTAACGGCTCGGGCGTCCCTGGATGGTCCGTGGTCTGTTTGTGGCCATTGAAAGAGGGAAGTGGTGGTCACTGGTGCACCGTGTTGGCTCGGGTAGCCGAGAGAACCATTGATCGGGCAGATAAGAGAGGTACCTAAGCACTGATAAGATACACAAGCCAAGTAGTCTAGCATCACGGTCGTCTCCGTGGTGTACTACCAATGAGTTCAAGAGATTCGAAGTATCTGGAGGAGATGTAGCTTCCTGTTGGCAAGAGATGTATTTCTATATCCTTTGGCAAGCACGCAGAGCACCAGTTGCATGCTCTAGCTCTGGACATGACTCCTTTGGTTGACGTATGGACCAAAAAGCTAGCACCACGATGGTAGCAATGCGGCCCATATCTATCGTCAAAGAATGACCAAGTTTTGCAGATCCGCGGACATTGTCGGATCGCAAAGCTGAAGTGGCAAGGCCTCTGATTCTGGAGGCTGGGGAAACAAAAGATGTCGCAGCCGTGAATCGAACACGGGGCTCGTGCATGGCAAGCACGAATTTTACCACTAAACCACTGCGACTTGTGTGTGAGCATTTCAGCTGTTCTAGCTTATATAGCTAATTCTTGGCGATGCGCGCGCTAGGGCTCTAGATCGCGCAAGCACGGTAAACCAAACTCGCATGCTTCGTTAAAAGTGCCATCACCAATCTTCACACATCGCACAACATGGTGAGTATCTCATTCTAGTAGCTCATTGCTTTCAGAATCAAGTTGCTGACATGCACAGGCTCGCAACGCAGAGAAGGCGCAAAGTACGCTGTTCAGATGGAGGGCACAGCAAGCGGCAGACCTGGGCATTCTCGACACAACGCGCACACGGCGACCAAAGGCCATATCACAACAAGAATCCGTACCGATATGTGAACGCTGGCGCGGCCAGGTGCTCAAGGAGATCTCGCGCAAGGTCTCAAAGATCCAGGATCTATCGCTCTCAGACTTCCAAATCCGCGACATCAACGACGAACTCAACAAGCTCTTCAAAGAAAAANNATGGCAATGGGAAATGCGCATTCGCGAACTGGGAGGACCCAACTACATGAGAGGAGGTGGTCGTGTTGTCGATGAAGAAGGCCGGGAGATACAAGGTGGTGGAAAGGGCTACCGCTACTTTGGAAGAGCAAAAGAATTGCCTGGTGTCAAAGAACTGTTCGAGGCCGCAAAAGCCAAACCGCAGGAAGAGAAGGCCCTGGAGACACGCTCAGATCTGCGCCAGAAAGTTGACGCTTCTTACTACGGCTACAACCTTGACGAGGAAGACGGTACATTATTGGCATATGAGGCACAGGAGGAGAAGGAGGCCTTCGAGCATACTTTGGAGAACCAAGAGGCGGATGAAGATGCAGACTGGGAACCTTTGCCTGGAGATTCTGGAGACGGTGTCGCATGGAACCTTCCGACAGCAGAAGAAGTCGAGACTGAGCTCATCGAAAGAAGGAGACGAAAGCTGCTCGACAAGCTCTGAAGACATGGTGGCATTTTGTGCATTCTGCATAGTATGCTCCATGGTGGTCTGTATCACCACTCTTCTACGCTTTGCCCAGCAAGTTCGTCGCTCCAATCGCGCCCGTCGACCACACACCAACAACGATGATAGTGCTGTTGGCCGAATTACCGGCATCCGATCCACATGGTAATCTGCACTGGACCTCAATTCTGCTACTCTGCCGAAAGACTCGATACTTGTAAATAACGAACCCGGGGTCATCATGTTACAAGGATGAGAAAGCCACACCCACGATGTATTGCATTTCTTCCAATGCATCATGCTGTGCCTGTGTGATGTGCCATATCGTGTGTGTAGAAGCTCTTCATGCCTATTCTCGGGTGAGCCTGTGACGCTACAGCTTTAGCTCTTGAGGGATAATTTAGAATCGATTTCAAGGTATCGAGGTGGTGACTTGGAAACGATCATTCTTCAATGCAGATTGAGTTAGGGGAAAATAGAAGAACAGATCTAGGACAATCGCCCGAATGCATGTACTTCGCCTCACCAGATGCTTCTCCACGGTATGTTTCCTTATCTGAGTTGGGCTGAGTGCACGTCCCTTGTGACAATCAATCTCGCTCTTGCCTTGCTCGACCATCTTCACGGCGTGCTCCGAACGGCGGTCGCAACCGCTCGATAGGAAAATTGGGGAGTCCGATATCTTCAAACGAAGGTTCATGGTGAAGGGCCCGCAACGACGTAAAGCAAAGCAAGTAGAGGCACGTCGAGCCTTGTATCGGGGGTCTCCGAGTTCCTTAGACAGTGACATGAACCCGACCAGCATCAACGCTCAATCTCCTCCTAGATATATAACCATCTTTTAGAACATGCATCGACTCGTACAATCTGCTTTGCATGCTCCTTTCCCCAAGAACTTATTCCTGCGATCATCTACCATCTTCAAGCATTATCAACTCTGTCCTTACGCCACAATGGCTGTTAAGATCAACAACATCTCAGTACACAAGATCCAACCTCCAGAAGGATCAAAGATCGATTTTGGAGCTGAGATCAGGGGAGCAGACTTGGAGAACCTCTCAGGTAACAAATTTCACTTGCCTCCTAAAGATCTTGAGCTAACGATGTATCGTTTCGATNNAGAGGAAGATTTCAAGATCATCAGAAATGCTTTGTACGAGAACAGTGTAGTTATGTTCAAAAACCAACAATCACTCTCGCCCAAGGCTCAATTCGAATTGACACAAAAATTTGATCCATCTGCTGGCTCTTACGGACACGGAAAGACAATCGACGCCAAAAGAAGCGTACTCCACCCTGACCTCAAGACAATCCCTCACCAACCCCAGGTACAAGTCATTGGAAACGGTCCTGTTGCCGAGTTCGAAGGATTGAAAGATATCACACTCAAGCACCCTCACCACAAGACATTCCACAAGACACCAATCAGCGAGACCGATGACCGGGATGCAACAAGATTCTACCGCTGGCACATCGATGCCGCATTGTACGATCTGTCTCCGCCCAAAGTCACCAGTCTCATGGCTGTCAGTGTTCCTAAGACCGAGTATCAAACTCTGAAGTATGACGACGGAAGTGACGACGAGATGAGAGTGCCTCGTGGAAGCACCGCTTTTGTGAGTTCGTACCGCACGTACGATCTCCTCTCTGAAGCCGACAAGGAGTTGGCCCGAACCACAAAAGTGCAATACGCTCCTCATCCTTACATCTGGATGTCGCCGGCACGATCAAGGAGTGATGGTCTTGGACTGGTTTCGGACGGCCTTGAGCTTTCTCGAGAAGAGCTGCCGCCCATTGACGAGCAAAAGATCAAGATCTTGCCCATGTGCTGGCGTAATCCGGTTACTGGACGTCTGGCTCTGCAAGTCCATCCATCTGCGGTTGAAAAGCTCCATCTTGCCGATGGTACTGTCATTAGTGACCTGNNGAAGCAAGTACGCGATATTGTACACAGGCTTCAGAGACCTGGAATTGCTCCTGAGCTGGTGTATGCAGTCAACTGGGATGAAGGAGACCTTGCACTATTTAACAATGAAGGTGTGATCCACTCGGTCACAGGCTCGTTCTTACCAGAAGAGGTTCGCATCTTCAGACAGTGTAATCTTGCCGCTTCCGAGGACCCTCTTGGTCCAGAATGATACAAGCATAGAGCATAGAAGGGTAAATAGACGAATTGACTCACAGGATAAATTTAAAAGATACTTTAGGGACCCGATGCTGTTCATTAGCCACGTGCATAGATATTTCGTACATGTATTGATACCAAGACCTTTTGACAAGATCGCATGTTGCGTTTGAAGAAAAGAAGCGGTGTACACCGCTTATTGTATTGGGTATACTCTAGCTTGCTAATCACACTGAATGAATCATGATTCTTTAGGATTTCTGTGTTGACTGTCTGCGTCGCATCAGCTTTTCGGCATTCCTTTGCATAAACGATTCTCCCAGGCTGCCAACAGTCTGTTGCTTGCTATAGCTCGGTCGAGAAAAGGAACCGTACAATGACCCTTGAGCTGGTATTTCCTCGGGCGTTTGATCGTCGAGATCGAGCTGGGGATCTTCCCGCACAGAGGGTCTCAAGAAGCCTGGTGAAATAGGCTGGGCAGACGAAGAAGACGAAGTTCCGAAACTCGCTATGGGGATGTTAAGACTGGGTGGACGGTTGGTTGGTGAGACGTCTCTATCGCCAGGGCTAGCCGGGCTTGCTGCGCGTAAGGTAGATTCCGAATCCAGACCCGAGTCGACATCTGTATCGATGTCTTCTATCTGCGTAGTGTACATTTCTGAAGGACCAGAGTCATCGAATTCTTCGTCCATAGAGAAGGGTGAAGCTAGCTCAAGGTCACCATCAGAGCTGATCTTAGTTTGCAGTGGTTCTTGGGGAATGCTAGGACCACGAGCAGCTGAGGCAAAACCGAGACTCAGTCCTCCAGGTTGGCTACTGGTTTGAGGACTTTGAGGAGCACCAGACTCGTTTGTGTTAAGTGACGGCGACCTCGGAGGTGTGGGTTCGCGTGTCTCAGCCTGCGTGGGTTGGGCGGGAGTCTGTACTTCGATGTGTTGAGTGCCATTTTCATCGTCAGGGCGATTGTCTGAGTCTCTGTTTGCACTCGAGAAGATATTATCGCTCGGGGCGACCACTGCGTCGCCCACGACGAGTGACACACGTTTCTTGTTCGAGAGTCTCGGGCCAGTCGAAGGCGCCTTCAATGCGGATACCAGGCTTCTTCCTTGATCCGAGCCAGATGAAGGCGTCCTTGGGCCTAAGCTCCGTCTGGACGATGGGGACTTGTTGTCGCCTGCAGGATCGGTGTTAGCGCGCTGCAGTACCTGCCGGTCAGGTACAATGGCGGTCGAATCAGCGGTATCGCCGAGGACAGGCGCAGAAGGAGAGCGACCAGGACCAGAAGGCCTGCTCTCGAGTAGCGGAAGATACGCAGGGGTGAAGAGGCCTAAGAGCTCGCTCTCTCGTTCATGGCCCTTCTCGCTGATGCCTCGTGCGTCTTGGTTGGTGTCAGCGGCATTTGCGAGCTGGTCGGCAGGCACGGTGCTGGGCGAGGCATTGCCAGGTGTCTGTACCGAAGGTGCAGGCAGCGATCGATAGCGGGTGCGCAACTCGCGCTCGTACAGCTTAAACTCCCTCTCTTTCTGGGCGATGAACTTGTGGATTTGGTCGTCGAGCTGGCGGCGTTTCTGGTCGAGTTCCTTAACGAAGCCGTCTACATCNNGCCCTGGGCCTCGGCGACGACTTCCAGACTCCTGCGTCGCGAAGCCTGGCGTCCCTCGGCGGGGCGCGGGCTCGGGCTCGGAGACTGGATCGGAGGTTGGTCGGGGATTGAGTCGGGTGGTTGNCGACGGCGTGTCTCGGTCTTGGTGGTGCTGTGGACTGGCTCGGACAGCTTCAGCTCTGGGTGCCGCGTCTTCTCCAGGCATGGGCATCAATGCGGGGGCGGCCGCCAGGCAGTCGAGGATGTTGCTCATATGGACCTCTCAATCACGTATTCTGATCGGGAATCGTCAGTCCAATCGAGGCCGGCGGGATTAGGCGAGAGGCGTCGAGTACCATGTGCTCCGGTGCCCGCGAGCTCTCGGTACCCGGTCGAGACTCCAGAGGAGGTGGGCGATGACGAGCCTGTCAATGCCGGTGCAGACAAGGCGCAGGCTTCGCTTGAATTCGCAGTGGCCGAGACGGGATAAGGGAAACAGAAATCAGGTGTCGCGGATTGCCATCAAGACGTGCAGGAATGCCATCTTCTCAGCTCGACCAGCTGCAGCCCTGCACAAGTAGAGTTGCTGATAAGAGCCGCATCCGAGCTAACCTCGTGCTTGGCTGTACATTGTCCTGATTGGGATGCGCGCTGCGTCATGCTGCTTGTGCTCACGAATCGCGAACCACCGCGACGTGATTCCTTCGTCTGCACCTCGCCGCGTCTACTGGGACCCTCTGCGAGTAGCTTGCGCTTACAATCAAGTGCTGTGAACGTGCTAGTCTGTGAACTCTGTCGGACTCCCTTCGGCGGGCCATCTTCCGTTCGTCGGCTTGCCCATTTTACAGAAGCGACTTCTTCTCTGAGGTTGGTGAACGACTGCGACGACCTCTTCTGCCCACGGCGCGCCGCTGGTCACCACAACGTCTATCAGCCATCTGTTCCATTCCACTGTCCGCACGCCACGGCATAGTCGCCCATCCTGACTGATATCCAGGGGGACTGTCGCGCTCATGGAGGCAGAGGGCGATGACAGGACTGACATGTCCTTACGGCGAGAGCGTGCCGTCATCGCAGCACAAGCTTGTCAAACTTGTCGGAGCCGGTAAGGCCAAGCAAATCACTCGCCAAGTCTGTTCACCTTTTACTGATTGTTGTATTTTCCGGTAATCAGAAAATCCAAATGTGATGAACAAAGGCCCAAGTGTGGCCTCTGTCGCCGGCTCAGTGTTGAGTGTGTCTACAGAGAACCTCAGCCTACNAAAGTAAGTCTGGCATCCAACCACGTGCACGACTACTATATGCTAAGATTTACCGTGTGTAGAAAGGACAAGACCATGATCTACATTCTTCAGACTTTGCAACGGCTCGAGAACAAGTTTGACACCCTATACGTATCGAAACCCTCGACTCCGGCGAGCAATGCCGACTGGAGCACTTCACAATCTGGACCACGNCCCCCAGGAGTCAATGGTACCATGGGAGCTTCCGGCTCTAATGAATCTCACGTATCTTCTGATAGCGAAATTCGCCCAGGAGGCCGCATGGGATCTCAATCATCGTTTCCTCCGGACATGCTGCGCACGTATCAACACTTGACCGTGGCTCACAAAGTCTTGCTTTGGCCATCGATATATCTCCATATTCTGAATTCTGGGATCGCCGTGGCCTCGGATCTACAATATGTGCTCCAAGAAGGGACACCTTGGTTCATCCATCTCGAATTACACAAGCACCCCAAGACGCTTCCCTGGGATACCGATATGCGAACGTATCCAATGCCTAGCAGTACTGGAGAGATGAGGGCTGGCTTTATAGGTTTGACGCCAGAAAATGTGCGAAGAATGAGCGATGCATACTTTAGTACCTTCAACATCCTGTTCCCGATTCTCGACAGACAAATGTTTCTCGAAGACATCCTCGAGCCGGTCTTGCGAAATGGGTTTGCCGACTGCGATCCTCAAGGCTGTCTTGTACTACTTGTTCTAGCCCTCGGTCAAACCGCCATCGATGGTGTCTATGGCTCACCGATCAGCATCATTGAGGGTAATCCCAGTGGCCTACGTGGAGGTACATCGGAGAGACCGCCTGGTCTAAATCTTTTCAACGAGGCTCGAAGGCGTATGGGATTCATTATGCATCAATGCACGCTTGAGAATGTGCAGATACATCTGCTCGAATCGTGAGTGGTGCGCGTTTGGAGATGGTCACTGCTAACACATATCGCNAGTGCGTATTATGAAGCTTGCGCTCGACACATGGTAAGCAGAGCTTTGAGCGAGCGAACGAATATGGACAATTAACTGAGCCAACTGTGCAGNGACTTCTGGCGAGCTACAGTAGCAGCATCCACTTCTTGTCAAATCCTTATCAAATGGTATGATCTGCTTCGATATCTCGATTGCCTAGCAGCTAACCAGCTGTCNAGTGAATCCATTGACTGGTCCACACCACGAGCCGACCTCATAAAGCGTGCATATTGGGCGTGTATGCTCAGCGAAGAGTAAGCACCCCTTACGTGTGGTTGACTGACAGCTCACACTGACGCCTGACAGNNTATGTATCATCTCGAACTAGATCTCTCACAGACAGGGATTCATACGTTGGAAGATCAAGTCCCACTTCCTTACTTCCACGGCTCGGAAAGCAACTACGGCAGTCCTTCGGATGAAAAGTCACATTTTCAATATCACTTCCTTGCAATGATAGCTTTGCGTAGATTGGTCGCGCGAATCCACGAGTCAATACATTGCTGTAAGTATCCCTTCGAGAAGGAGCGGGCAGCAGCTGACTACATGCANGCATCCAATGCGGCGGCCGAGCTATCCGAGGACTACGGTGGTCCACCGGTACACGTCATCAAGGAGTTGGCCCGACAATTGGAATCGTGGCGCTCGCTTCTTCCTCGACCTCTGCAGTGGTCGGACAATGACAAGACCGAGTTTCCCAATATGGGATCGACAGGAAGACACGGTACAGACTCACTCTTCTCAATGGACCAAGGATCTGTCCCGATCAACCACCGAGACAACCTGGACATCATGACAGCACAACTAAGAACGCAGTTCTACTACGCTCGGTTTATGATCTACCGGCCATTTGTTTACAAAGCGTTGCACTTCCCTGAGCTGATGACGGAAGAAGATCAAATATGCTGTGCTCTCGCGATACAGTCGGCGTGTCTATGGCCGTTGATCCTTGCGCCGCCCAAGAACAAGAAACGGCTGGTGCCACACCTGTTTACGTGGACGCAGAATTTTGTGGGCATATTGCTCATACTGCGCATGACGACGGAAAACGAATGCTTGAAGAAAATATGTAACGAGAGAGTGAATCGAAAGGACCTGGAGCAGACGACGACGTTGATGCTGGAATGGATCCAGGACATCAAACAAGTAGATGGAATCGCGGAATGGAGTTGGAAGATGCTGGGGCCGCTGTACTCGCGGCATGGCTAGGAAATAGTCGAGATGAAGACTGTTAGCTAGCAATAAACAATAGAGACAACAAACCAGGTATTAGTTCTTCTCTATGGCTGATGCTGTGCTCGCGTGCTCGGGACATGTACTCAGACGTAGAGCGGGTGCCAAGCAAAAGAGAGCGAGGCGGCGATCGAGTTCGAGGCCGAGCCGGGGCAAGTCTTCGCGACAAATTATTATTATCAGCCGACTTGCAACGCGATCCAAGGCGTGACGGGCAACTTCGCAGATTCAAGAGACAGACAAGCATGAGGATGAACTGAGGTAGCCATGGACCTGCAATGTTCCAAAGCCGCAGACGAGTGCCATCAGAGGGAGCGCTCCGGGTGCTGCGCCAGCTCGCATACATCTCATCGGGTACGGCATGCGGTGCCGCCGCCATTGTAGCAGAGGAGCGCCGCCGCCAGACGAACCTCGTGTCCAAGATTGCCGAGAACTCGCGCCGATTGAAGCAACACCCACGCCATCAACATGGCCACGCCGCTCAGCGCAGAAGAGCCGACGATGCTGCCCGTTCGACCGCCACCTCGACCTCCGCTAGGGACCAATTGCCAGACAACCAGCTGCTCTCACTGCCAGACGACAAGCCGCTCCCACAGGCAGAAACCTTCCGTAACCATGTCTTACCGTCCGAGGTCGAGCGAGGTTACGCCAAACTCAACTCACACCAGCCACCCAACAAGGGAAAGAGCCAACCTGCCCACAACCCTCAGTCAAAACACCAACCCACTAAGATTAGGCCAAAGTATCGCCGCCAAGACTATGACTTGTCCTTCTTCACGACCGCTCTCAAAACCCACGGCCCGACCAGCGCAGTGGCCCGCTTCAACATCCGCTGCAACGACCTTATTGATCGACGCCAAGTCAGTGAAGCATTCGGCCTTCTCAGAGCAGCCATCCATCATTTAAAGACCGATGGAATCTCTATAGCTCCATTGCATCCTCTCGCCGATCGTCTGTTTGATTCGTACCTAGCCAACGAGAACTATCAGTCTTGTAGTAGGCTATTGCACCACATGAACCACCAAGGAAGTCCCATCACCCACTACCTACACCGCCTTGCAATTGCCTGTATCGAGCCTATTCAGCCTACGCTTTTGATCAAGTTGAACGAGAAGTTCGGGGACAGAATTCCTCTTCCTCGCCGCACCTACCCTGCTTTGTGTGCAGCATACTCGACGCGCAACTCTGAACTCTGCGCCCTGCTGTTTGCAAAACACATACGGCAGGAAGATCGCCTCTCGGTGCTTCCACTATGCGAACCTGCTTGGCCAGTCATCATCGATCACATGTGGTCAGTTACTAAGAACTACCACCTTGTCGATTCGCTTTTCATCCACATGTGCAAGCTGTCAGATCATCCGCCTCTGGCCCTCTACAATGCAATGATTCATGTTTGCATCAAATTCGGCAGACTCGATCGAGCTCACCACCATCTCCATACCATTCAACAGAGCCAACACCTCCGACCCGATATTGTCACTTTTGGTCATTTCGTCTTCCAGGCTTCTTCAGATGCCGATTGGCCGCCCGCAGAGGACTTGATGGCCATGCTGGTTCGGGCTGGAGAAACAGAAGCGCCTCCAGAGAAACGTACTGATCTGTTCGTTCCTGTCCTCAAAGCATATGCCAAGCGTCATCACCCCGAAGAAGTATGGGCTTTTGCCTTCAAAGCTATCGACGAATACGGCGTTCTTCCGGATCCACGTATCTTGAGCACTGGTCTCGGAAATCTCATCAGGATTGGCCGCTTGGAAATGTTATCCCCATGGGTTGACAAAATGAGAACCTACGACCTAGGTGCAGAGATTACTCCAGGAATAGCCCTAGCCATGATGCGGCAATTTTACTTCGACACTAGACCTTCTTATACCATTATGGTATGGCTTTGTTGTCGTCTGATGAACAACGTGCCTGGGTACTGGTCTCCCGGTGTTCTAAACCTGCTACGTGAGGCTGTGGCGTATGACCTTCGAAGTTACCGAGCCGGGCAAGCCCACAGGGTACCACATGCAATGCATATGCTCAGGATGCTGCAAGAAGTCAGGCTGGACTCGCCGAGCTTGCCAAAACCACTCTACTGGAATCAGCTACAGCAGCTTGCGGACAAAGACCAAGCGCGTGTACCGTCCTCAGACTCGAATTTTCAGGACGCCGTCAAGAAGGAAGTGCAGACGAAGGATCAGCCACAAGATCTCCAAGATACTGTGTTGTCAGATGATGAATCGTCGATGCATGACCTTTTAGACGCTGCACTCTCGACAGCAAAGTTCAAGAAGTCGTCAAACGAGCACGAGATGCTCATGGCCTTGTCGGAAGGACGTTACACTGATGTTCTGAAACTGTACGAGAACAGCTTGGGGCAAAGCGGCCTGCCTGCCTCGTCATACTCCCTGGAAATGGCAATGCAGGCTCGTACACAGTTGCCAGATGACGCTGGAGCGCTTGGTGACCATATAGACATGGCAAGCGAAGCTGGTATGGACACTATAGCGGCACTCCTGCCGCTGCTGAACCATAAAGTACAGAACTCTGCAATAGGCTCGCGGATGCATGTTGATGAGCTGTGCAACACCGTGTGGTCTTTCTATGAGAACATGGTCAAGAATAGTGTCACCATCAGACATCATCTGGCTACATCAGCAGCAACAGTTCTGCTCCAGAATGGCAAGCCAAACGATGCAATACGGCTGCTTTCGCAGATATACCTCTCACCATGGGCCGAGAAGGTACCGTTGGATCTACCAGCCATGACTGTGTTGCTGCAAGCATACATACACGTACGTCACAGCTTGGGTGCTGAGTGGGTCATCAAAGAAGTCTTGGAAAAAGATTACCGCGTCGACTACGCCTTCATGACCGTGATCCGAAAAGCCAAGATATCGGCCAAATCACGGGCATCAGTTGGAGGCGAAAAGGGCATGAACAATCTCAGACTGTCCAAAATGCTAGATTACTACTCAAAGGTCGGTAGAGCAAAGCAAATGGCGCAGATCAAGGCAGCATCCCGTCTGGGAAACCGCCTAGTCAATGCCATGATCAAGCTTGCTAGGCCCCCATCGACAGACGCAATCTGGCAGCAACAAGCACAACGTCACGGAATTGATCCCATGATGTGGTCGGGACGTGGGTCTATGTGGCGCGTTTCCTACACTGGAAGATTCCGACGACGAGGACGGAGGCGACCCAACTTTGCCAAGTACTAAGTTGAGAAAGAGCAGGCGGAGAAGAAACAAGTCAAAATCACTCTGACATGAACGGCCATTCCATCAGGGTACTGTCGTTAGAGGAAAGGCGTTATCGAGGAGTCAAAAAGGTGTCTCACGAGCCGAGGGGTTTGTAGATATCTGGAGCATTTTACCACATCCTGTCACTTTGTAGAAATCATGTACTTGTACGAATAGATCAAAAGACGTTTTTGAAATCGCTTTTTATGTCTTCATGGTCGTCAAAAAGTAAACTTTCGATGGCTTGAGAATATTATGCTAGTCCAGTCGTCCTTTTTCGACCGCAATGCACAGCTTTTCTAGTACAAGACCATCATCACATGGTTCGGCTTTTCTCTCCATTTTGCTTTTCTGCGCATACTCGAGAAGCGCGTGGCTGTCTCGGCTGGCCTCGACTCCGTCGTGTACCTCGCAAATGTGCATTGCCGCCTCATTTGCTTTCAATCGTCATTCACCGCTCAGTCCTCATCCCAGTTGGGGTTAGGGCCTGGCGGCTTGGGACCGCCTGCCTGGCGGGCAACGATGATCTGGTCGACGCTGAGGACCGTTCTGGCGGACTCGGTGGCGAGCTTGATGGCCCATTGCTTGCAGACCATGAGGTCAAGGATACCTTCGTCTTGCGCATCGAGCACACCATCACCGTTGTTGTTTTCGATGTCAACACCAGCGCCGCAGACGCCGCCGTCCTTTGACGACTTTGCGCTGTGGGAAGTGTAGAGGGAAGCGAGGATCTCAGTGGCGTCGAGACCGGCGCTCTCGGCCAGGAGACGGGGCACCACCTCGAATGCCTCTGCGTATTTGCGGATAGCGTATTGTGAGAGACCAGACGTCTTGTCTGCAANGGCAGAGATGCGCTCGACGAGCTGCATCTCGGCAGCTCCGGCGCCGGGTACGAGACGGGCGTCTCTGGTGATGGCCTTGACGACGTTGACACCGTCATCGACGGCGCGCTCTACATCTTCGAGGTGGTTCTGGGTGGCGCCACGGAGGACAAGGGTGGCGGTGCGGGTGCTGTCGTTTTCCTGGCGGAACACGGTGACGCGGTCACCACCAATCTCGATGGTCTCGACAATGTCGACGGAACCCATCTCGTCGGGCATCGGAGCACCGAGACGAGCCAGAGGGGTAGCACCAACGACTCTGCAGAGGCGGCGGAGTTCGAATTTGGACATGATCTTGATGACAAGGATGCCGTAGCGGTTCAGGTAGTGCATGGGCAGCTCACCAACAGAGTTTCCAGCAACAACGACGCGGACGCCCGAGTCGTGCAGCTCCTTGATGGCCTGGTCGATTTGTGATTCCTCGCCCTTGGTGAAGTCGAGCATCTCCTGGGCGTTCTTGAGCAGCACGGTGCCCTTGGTTTCGGTCTGTGCAATGTCGATGGGGCAGCTGAAGACACCGACCTTTGCCTTTTGCACGTTTTTGACAGTACCCTCGGGCTCGCGGCCGAAGACCATACCCTTGACAACGCGCGACTGCTCAATCGAGCCACCCATGATCTTGACGACACGGACATTGTCGACGTTGAAGTTGAAGGTGTTCTTGGGCAGGACGGCGAGTACGGCCTCGGCGACCAGGTTGGCCAGAATCTCCTCGTGGCCTGATTGTTTGGCAGCAATGACGGTACGCAGAGCCTTGGACAGCTCCTCCTGGTCGCGCATGTCCTTGACACGGTCAACCTCGAGTTCCTCCAGCACTCTCAGGGCCTCCTGGCCAGCACGCTCGTAGCCCACGACGATATCACTGGTCTTGAGACCCATGCGCAACAGCTCCTCGGCCTNTTTGAGCAGTTCTCCAGCCAGCACGATAACCATGTTTGTAGCGTCGCCCATCTCGGCCTCTTGCTGTTGACTGGCCATGACCAGCAACTTGGCGGCGGGGTGCACGACTTCGAGTTCTCTGAGGATGGTGGCGGCGTCCGAGGTGAGGATCATCTTTTGCAGGTGATTGATGACAATCTTGTTGCGTCCGTAGGGGCCTAGCGACGTGGCCACGGTATCTGAGATGGTTCGGCAAGCGTCAATGTTGCGCACGACGGCGCCATCTTCGGCATCGTAGCTAGTTGTGTGTTAGTCGCCTGCTGTTACTTGGACTGGTACTTGATGGTGAACGGCTCCGTAAGCTCCATCGCCGGCGAGCTCTGCAGCCGCCTTTGTGCTCAACGAGACTGATGGGGGAAGCTGGACTCACTTCTGGTAGCCGGCCTTGAACAGGCCGCTGTTGGGCGCATTCGGTATTGAGAGCGACATTGTGGTGTGTGTGCAGGTGGTTGGCAAACAAATAATTATGCTCCAGTTGCTAGCATGCCCGAGAAAACATGCAATCACCGACGCCGCACCCCCGTCGTGCCTCGCCAAGATTCGTCCGCCGCAGTCACAGATGCTCTCGGGACTTTCACCATCGTCCAACCATGCAGAGAACATATTTATGCAACATTTCTTTGACATCCGCTTGCCCGTATGTTCATTCTATATATCGGAACTCTTGCCTTCGAGTCATTCTTCCGCGACAATGTAGGGCGACGTGCAAACTATAGAAAGATGATCAAGATCGGCTAGATGTGAGTTCAAGGAGAGCCAACGGGACAGACACTGTTCATGGAGCCGGGTCTGAAAGTACAGCGTAGATCGTATAGCGACAAACGTTACAGATCATAGCACATCGGGACCTACTCTCTTGATCAACACGCTGACGGCGCCTTCTATCCATCCTGCCACGAGTGGTACCAAAGAGTGTAGACAAGAATGTTTGAAAAGAGGCTGCGTAGAAGAACAAGTAATGAAAAAACAACGATGATAGCCAAAGGAGAAAGATCAAAAGTGTAAGGGGTATTGCGCCTCTCTGGCCACAGCCTCTTCTGCTGGCCACTGCCGCCGTCCATCTCCTGCTGACATGCCTGCTATGCTTCAGCGGGTCCAGACAATTAAACATATGAAAAACAAAAACTTATCCGCACACAGGTATAAGAAGAGAAGAGAAAAAACCTGGTGCCCGTCGCCCCTAGCCAACAACTTCCACCAATCAATTATCCTCCGGAACACATAAAGAAAAGAAAAAAAGAAGAAGAAAAGAAACGAAAATTATTCTTCTTGCACAGCGTAATCTCCCCCAGTCCCGCCAGGGAGGGCCATCTTACTTTTGTACACTGGGTGAGCTGCGCCTCACCCTGCACATCATCCAACGTCCTGCGCCATCCAACGCCTTTGACATATGCTCTTTTCTGGCTTGTTGTTGTCGCTATAGTCATTCATCACAGTGCCACGTCGAGCACTAGGCTGACATCGCTGACCTGCGACCCTGCAAGGTCTTCCAGCACCGGAATGAGGTCCAGAAGCTCGTTGTCGTGGGCGTCCGAGAACCAACTGCTAATGGGCACAGCGTGCTGAGGATGGAAAATGTATGAGGTGGGCGAATTGTCGATGATGATTGTCTCCTTGAGGTCGCGACCGACTTGCGAGAGGTCTTTGACGTAGTTGCCTTGGTGATTGTAGCAACTCTCTCGGAACAGTCTGTGGTGTACCACTCCATGGATGTCCAGTTGGTCCAGAAGCGGGTCTCCATACTACCGAAAGGGTCAGTTCCACAACTGCCAAGAGCAACAACAGTAAGCGTGCAACATACCTTNTGAAACCGAAGCCGTGAACACGACAACCTCGTACAGCTCTCCCATTCTCTTCATGAATGCATCGACCCCTGGTCGTTTGATAACATAGACATTATGGTATGTCCCTTCTATTTCTACAGGGATAGTAAAGTCCGCCTGGTGCAANNAATCTGTGTGGAACACTGTCAGTATTTAGTGTTTGCGGTGTTCAGGTTAAGGACCAACCTTGAAACTGCTGTGGACAAGAGTCTCATCCAGATCCAGGATTAAGCATTTTCTGCCCTGGTGCTCCGGCCTCACAGATGGCAACAACCACTTCTGAGGCTCGGGACTCGGGACCAGCGATGTGTCATGGCTAGCCGTGTTGGGGTGTGCCACTTGTGCCTGGCGCTCCACCAGGGGTGGGGGAGGAGGCAGGTCGACCCGTGAGCCAGATTCACGGCGAGCGGAGACATGGCCTTCATCCTCGGATGTACCAGCTACGTCGTTGGCCGAAAGAGGTAGCGAAGGACCGACGTCCGTCATTTCAATGTCCGTGTCTCTAGCCTGTTGTTCCGGAGTGCGGTCGGCGATCATAAGATCTTCATCTGCGGTCGTCGCAATGGGAGTAGGAGCTTGAACAACGACATCGGGTTGAGTGAGGTAGGGCGCATCTGAAGAGGTCTGCATTTGCGAGTTCTGACCATGCACGGGCCCAACCGAAGGCATTCCAGTGGCTATTTGAGGGGGCGCAGAGACACCTTCGTATCTGGACTCTGACTGACTTTGACCAGGCGGAGACATGTTCTCACTTTCTGCATGAGCTGAAGTGCCGCTCGGCTCGGCAAGATAAGGGTTGGTGGACGGCTTCTCATCGATGGTATCCACTGATTGCATTGTTGGGTTGGAGTTCATTGAGGGTTGTTGATCGACTTGGGAGGCTTGCGCAGGCACCGACTGGCGAGATGGCACATCCTGATCACCGTCCTGGGCGTCGTCCGAGGAGCCGCAGCAGTTCAAGAAGGACAGGAACTTCGATTTCTTCTTCGGGCGAGCAGCATTAGACTGCGTGGTGGCTCCGGAGAGNNCGGGCGGGTGGGCTTTTCACTCATTGAAGGGCGGGTGCGATGAGATCGTTTGCTGCTTGCGTTGCTTCCGGTACGGGCACGTGAGCGCAGGCTGCGTTTTGAGCGACGANNGGTGTGACGACGGGCTGGCTTGGAGCGGTAGTAGACGGATGGTCGGGTCGATCGGGCGAAGGTGATGGGGGAATAGCAGTGGCTGTGCTGCTAGTAGTCTCGGCTGTGGTACGGGGAGAATCGGGGGTTGGAGTGAGGTCTGTCGAGGTTCGGCCATAACTGCATACGTCAGAACGGGAGCGAGGCACACGCAGGCAGAGGGTGCAGGGCATACACAGGAGTAAATTAAGCTATCGTAACTTCTTGATGCGCAAAGGCGAGAGACAGTGTTTGGTGCGAATAAAGAACGTCGAGGCGTGGGGTGTAGTTGAGTGAAAGAGTGACTTGGCGGACGGCAGAGAGAGAGCAGGTGCAGAGATGCAGGCGCTTAACACCACTCGACGAGACTCGGATAGCCAGACGACAGCGTCCAGAAGTATCGGGCGCGGCGGCGGCGGCGACGACGAGGTTCGGGCGGGCAGAGCAGAGCAGAGCGAGGCAAGCGAAATCAGGTCGCCGTGGTCGTCGTGCGGTCGCAGATCAAGGTCGAAGCAAGACGACGATGTAGGTATGTTTGGAAGATGGGCCAACCACCTGCGGCTGGTGCCAAGCGGGCTGCATTGTCCGTGCACTCCCGCGTCTGTGGCTAATCTCACTAGATAAATTCAATTTACTCTGACCTGTGTCTGGTGCTTGGTGCTTGGTGCTACGCGACCCTTGTCGGCTCTGTGCTATACCTGCCAAATCCATGCGTGTTCCTGCAGCTGTTCTCCTGATCCGCCTGGCCCTCTGCCACCTGCTTTTCGGCCAGCATGTCGTGGCCAGAGGATTGCTGCAACCGTGGTAAACAAACCGTGCCCCGCGCCACAACAAAGCTCACAGCTTGACCTTTAAATGATGTGCCCGTTGGGCGACTTGGGCCCCAGCAACGCCTGCTCTTCTCCCAAACACTGCACCGGCCGTCAATCCGCTACCNNTGCTCCACATTAGCTTCATCTCTCCTTTCGTCATCTCGACTTTGCTAGGTTGCTTACCTCCAGGGTAGTTCGTATAAAACAACCCACCAACCATCTCTCCTGCTGCAAACAGTCCATCGATAGGAGACCCATCATTCTTCACTACACTCGCCGTACTGGGTTTCACTGCCAATCCTCCAAACGAAAAGGTTATACCCGAAGTTACTCGAACGGCCAGGAAAGGCCCCTTCACAACAGGCAACGCCCAGTGAGATTTCGGCAGATCTAACGCTGCGCGAGATGACTGTGTCATGAGACTGTCCTTGACGGATGGATCAAGCTTTGCATCAGGATACTCTTCTCGGTGTGCACGCACCGCTACGTTGTAGTCGTTGATCGTATGCACAAATTCTTGTGGATCTTTCAACCCCTGCTCTGACAGCTTCTCTGCCAACTCCTCAAGACTCTCCGCTCGAGTCTTGCGGACAATGTCGTCACGGTATTCTTCCTCTCGCAACCAGCCAAGAGCGTCTGCGTCCCAAACCTGGAAAGCTAGTCCTTCCGGTTGCTCGAGCACTGCTCTACCGAACATGGCATACGTGTAGTTTCGAAGATCGACTCCTTCATCGACAAATCGTTGGCCGCGGACATTGAGCATGAGCCCAAGCGGATATCCACTCTTGGTAAACTCATTGGTTTTGTCTCTGTCGCCTCCATCTGGAGGTGAGTCTGCGTCCCAACAGACACTGTGACAACCTGTGTGGCTGTAATCGCCAGCTTTTCGCGCATCTAGGTCCAGGGCGGCCAAAAGCATGTTGCCAGTATTGTAAGGAGTGCCACGGACATGAGCAAGCCCCCAGCCAGGTCCCATGAGGGTTTTTCTGAGCTCTCGGTTTGCTTCGAACCCACCAGCGCACAGAATCACGCTGGGTGCATACAGCTGAAATTTAGAATCCGCGTTGCCTAGTGTCGAGCCATCGACTCCAGCTATGCCTCCTTCTCCGTTGAGGAGTAGGCGTTCGACCTTCGTGTCGAATGAGGTAACGATTCCCCTCTTCGTAACAGCTTCAGACAGATTCTTGATCAGACCTTTACCTCCGTCCTTGACAGTGAGCGCCAGACCACCCCAGGATTTCCACCTGCCTTGCACTTCGTAGGCTTGACGTCGGAAACTGAGCCACCAATCCACGTTTCCGTGTTCCTTGAGCCAGCGAACGGTATCAAGGCTGTCATTCACGAGCACAGTTCCCAGTTCCTTGTCGCTGCGACCTCCTGTCACGCGTTGCAGGTCATGTTGAAAGTCCTCAGTGGTATACGGTGCCAGATCAATCTTGTCCTTCAACTCTGGCGGAACATTAGATACCAATGGCAGAAGAGAAGGCAGTCCATCGTGAGCAGTGCGATATGCGCCGGCTGTAAAGTAGCCGTTGCCCCCTCTTCATTCACGGGGTGCCTTCTCGACTATAAGAACACGGAGGTCGGGGTCAAAGACTTTGGCTGAGAGGGCTGCTGTCAATCCAGCCGCGCCAGAGCCGACAACGACAATGTCGTAGTAGTTCGAATCCAGTGGTCCTGAAGACATCATTCTATAGATGTCTGATCAAAACTAGTTGTTTTCCGAGTGAGGTGGCTCGAGTTTGTCGCCCGAGGTCTCATTGCGGCGATTGACGTATGTCCTCGGTAGAGAGCTCGGGAAGAAGTGCGAAGGCACATACTCTAACGACAACTGCCAGCTGCAGCAACGCAGAACCAATGTGTTGGAAGGGTGTTAGAAGGTTGCATCACAATTGCATGGGGAACAGATACCTAGGTATGCTTTTGCCAGTCGAGACAGAAGGGACAAGTATACGGACAGGGCGATACCAATAACGCCCATTCGACGAACATATTGAACATACAAATGCATTATTAGGATCGTTTTAGCAAGTTTGTCTTTCGATATCATGCATGAACAGCCCGCTGTCATGCTCGTCATCTGCTCCACAAACCATATACCATGCTCAACTCCTCTCAGATAGCCCTCCGACGGTGGGCGGGGAAATTCCATACGATGAACATGCAAACAACACCAAGATGACCCAGCCATACATCAGGTAGACAGACCTTGTGATGCGCGTTGGAAACTGACCAGCTCGAGTTGAGGCACTTCCAGCGTCTGGACTTCTTTCTCGTACTCCTGCTCCTTCTCGTTCATCCTTTCCCACCAGGCGACGAACTCAGCAGCCGTCGATCTAGAGACTGGATGTACACCATCGCATCTGAGATGCAGCCAAAGTCTGTCTACAGACTTGCCAATGTGCCTGAAACGAACCAATGTCTCCGATCGAAGATGGTCGAGCTCGGCTTCATACGAACGCAGGAATGTTTCCCAAGCACTCTCGTCGAACAGTTGATCGGTACCAAAGGCGAGTTCGTTCGAGGATTGACGAGAGATAGGGCTCATGATTGGCGAAGGAGAATCAGCAGACTCTGAAGCGCGTCGAACTCTGGTGGCCAACATGGAATTAACGTGCTCGAGACTGACCTTGTCGCGAAATGATGCGCTGATCTCATCAACCTCATCGCCCACGATGCTGTCGCGGGGAGTAAAAGGTGGTGTGTTTGGAGTGGTCGATAAGGTGCTGCCGAAACTCGTCTGAAGTGAGGGCAGAGCAACTCGTGTCTGAGGAGACGACATCTCCATAGATCCTGTGGTAGGAAACTGGAGGGATCCAACGGCGGAGCAGTCAGAAGTAGTACGCGAGAGATGTCCGTTGGGTCTGGAGGGCCAGCCTCGGTGAAGACTTTCGTCATCGAGCTTGTCAATTCGAGCCAGGGCTGTGCAAACGGCGGCGCCTGCAGCTTTCCAGTCGTCAAGCTCTGTCACAAGAGCCTCGGGCAAGCGAAGTCTGAGGTCTGTTGGTAGCATCCACTCGGCAACGAAGGCAGCATTGTAATAGAAGGTATCAGCATCGGCGTCAGCAGGCATCTCATGCTCCTGATTGCGACTGAAGTCTGTCTCGAGGCTTGAGGTGGTGATTTAGTCAGCATAATGACAGGCGAGCGGATTGTGCGTGCATTTGAGTAAGTTTGCTCGACCTGACTGCCATGCTTTGCACAGTGGGGGAATCGGCTCAACAGAAGCATCTTTCTGGAGTTTACGTACTANCGTGCGGTGTGAAATGCGTGACTGTCTCCATGAAGGACGACGATGGTGTGGTTGAGTTGCGGGAGGCATAGTGGAGCTGATGCAAATGGTTAAGAGAAAGCAACATCCGAGAGTGATGTGCCGAGGAATACAGAGCAGGGGAGATCTTGATAGGAGTGTCGAGGAAAATGCCGAAGGAGGGGAAAGGTCATTTATACGAAGAAGGGAAAGAGCTCAGCAAGGCTAAGTAAAGCAAGAGCTACCCGCGTACCAAGACATCAGGGAAGAGCAAAACGCATCTCATTATGCTTGCCCATCAAGCGAATGGATGATTACTTGCGACAGCTCTGATGTATCAAGGACTGTCTTTATTGTAAACGTTGGCCTTTCTGTTTCCTGTTGGTGATAAGCACGTTCGTCGATGTTTCTCACCAGAGTGGAACGAATGTAGCGTGGCAGTTCCCGCTAGAGGTACCATAATGCCTTGTTTTTGAACTTGACCGATTGCAACACGTCGATACTGATCAGACTCACACTCGTCATTGATGATGAAACCAACTGGTTGTACATTAATATGTGCTCATCCATCATGCACAACGATGGTCTTGATCTATGGTTGGTCCGTTCAGAATGTCGGTGATTGAGTTTGGCCAACAAACGATGTTCAGTGGTCAAAGTCAGAAGGTACAGCAAGCCTTTTGATTGGTTTGACAAGCATCACTTCTACTGGCAGGTCAGAGGATGAGATGGATGAGCTGGCCCGCACCGCAGATGGGGGGAGAAGATCGCATAACGGAATGGTAGAACGGTCAGAATATGATGCTTTTTGTTCAGCGGAGTACACAAGGGTCTCAAGACCGGACGAATACAAAGACTGGCGTCGGATGCTGAGCATAAGTCCGAGATGGTATATCGCGAGGAGGCAGAAAAGGACGAAAACACAAAGAGTCTACTCCAGACTACAAAGGAAAAAGGAACAGTCAGCAAGGCAAAGAGATAAACAAGAGGAAACTCACCGTTCAATCAGGTGCAGACCAGAGGCAGTTTCGACTACGTGGCTGACCTCGCCGGGCTTCAGAGCAAAAGCGGCGTCTTCAAACTCCTTCTGCATGTCGCCCTTACCAAAGAAACCNNGCTGCGAGGAGTGCGTCAGTGGATCAGAGTCTCCAAGAAGATGCAAAGAGACATACAGGTCACCTCTCTTTCTAGAGCTGCTGCAGTCGCTCTCAGTGGTGGCCAGGTCGCCGAGGCTGGTCGCACCGCTTCTGATTCTGGCTTCGTGGCCGAGGATGATGGTCATAGCATCATCTTTGGAGCGAGTGATCTGGGCCTCACGCCAACTCGAGGGACGGCGAGAGTCCTTGTGCTTGACGAGCAGATGCGAGGCGCGGATCTTACCTTCTTGTTGGCCTTGGCCGTCGGGTCGCAGGCTGGCAGAGCTGTGGTAGGTGCCCATGTAATGCTTCAGAGTCTCGCTGTCGGTGCCGGAAGGAGGCTCCCATCTGCTCTCCTTGGTCGAGGGGTTGAAATAGTAGGGAAGGTTCTTGGAGTTGGAGTGTCTAACCTCCCAGCCGCTGGGAAGACCGGTAGCCTGGAGAGCGATGGACGTGTCAGAGGCAGGCGCGAGAGCAAGAGTGGAGGGCGACGAGTGGGAGAGCAGACGATGGCGGGGAAAAGGCACGACTCACCATGATTCTGGAGATATGCGGATTGGACTGGATTGGATTGGATTGGCTTGTTCAGGCACACGCGCTTGACAGAGATGGAGTGCGGGGAAAGTGACAGAAAGATGAGGGATGCGGTTGTTTGATGCGTCGAGACTCGAAAGCCGAACGCGAAGGAAGACCGCGCTTGGCACTGCTGCTTGCCGATGCCCTGCCAACAACTTCCATCACACTCACAAGCCGAATCCGTCACCCTTGCGCCTGCGCTATCTTGACCACCGCCGCCGCCGCCGCCGCCGCTCGCTCGCCTTCACCATCGCATACCCAAGTCACGCGACACAGCACCTGCCTCATCCTTTACCCACCACCATGGCCTCGCACGACTCCCCCTCAGATGATGCGACCAACGCTCAGAACGAGAAGATCAAGTTTAGATTCTGTCGCGAATGGTACACATGACCCATGCGTGTCCTGCTCTGGCCGTGTGCTGACCGTCTGCGCNNCAGCTCCAACATGCTCTACCCGCGCGAGGACAAAGAGACGGATCAGCTCATCTTCCAGTGCCGCAACTGCCAGTGGCCCACCGCTGTCGGTCCAACCTGTATCTATCGCAACGAGGTCATGGGTAACCTGATCGAAACCGCTGGTGTCGTTACAGATGTCGCTTCAGACCCAACAGTACGCCACATCCATGCGCGCATCCACTTGAACCACGCTCACCCGATGATANNGCTACCCCGTGTTGAGAGAGACTGCAACAACCCACGATGCGGAGGCAGAGAAGCAGTCTTCTTCCAGAGTCAGATGCGTAACGCCGAGACAGGCATGAAGCTCTTCTACGTCTGCTGCGAGTGCGGCAAGACCACCACTTAACGACCCGACGATTGCATTTCTGGCGTACAAGGTTGCATGGGGACCGGAGTCTTTGCTTGGGTTGGACATTTTGAAAGAAACATGAGGAGAAAGAAAAGGGAACAGGCACGAGGGCAGGAGTGAAAAGAGACAAAAGTAGAGGGGGCATTTTGGCATTCATGCTAATGCCGAATCAGCGACCGAAGCATCATCGGTTAGACATCAAGGTGGCTGCCTTGATCCGCTGGATGTTTTTGGGATATCTCAAGAGACTCTCCTAATCGTACACGGCAACCTTTTTGCCAAAACAGAGTCGTTCGCCTGTCCCAAAACCGTGTCGCCCGAAACGCCTGTGCTATGCTCCCAGAAACCCCATACTTTTATCATGTTTTACAAGTGCATGGGAGCCAAACTCAAGATCTTGGACCATTGCATGTTGCGGAGCTCGCTTCCGACGATACNCTGGACGGCGTCAGTTGATATGCGACGGCCAAGGCGACAAATATGCGCACCGTTCAGTCTGGAGCCGATGGGCTCTCCTCCCTTGTTGATGAGAACGCAGGCGTTGTCGTCGAACTTGACGACGCTGCCATCGGGTCTTTGGTATTTCTTTGCGGTACGGACGACGACGGCGTGTCTAATGTCGCCACGGCGGACTTTGTTGGCTGCGCTGATGGACACACTGCCTCCGGGACCAGACTCGGGACCAAAGTTGCGCTGCTTCTGCACGACGACAATGATGCGGTCGCNCTAGGGAGTAGCGTTAGATGTCGGCGAAGAGCAATGGTTAGGCGTAGAGTGCTGACCGATCTTTGCGGCTCTCTTCATCTTGAGCACCTTGACACACTCGACCAGGGCGGCGCCCGAGTTGTCAATGCAATTGAGCATAGACTGGCCACCAATAGTCAGCGGGCGTGAGACATGCACACAAGCAAACAACCGACCTTGAGCTGGATCATGTTTGCGACGGGTCGTTCAGGGTAGTTAGTTCCTTCCTCCAACAACCACTCAGTCGGCGGATGCAAGTGATGGATGCCACGAGATTAAACTTCGCACGAATCTTGGCGGTCGGCGCGTCTCCCATGGCCTCTCCTGCCTTCTCCGCCATTCATGCCTCCGCTATTGTCGTGTCGTCTGCATTGTATTGTGACTCGGTCCAGTCTCTCACTACCGGCTAGTCGCATCATTGTCGAAAGTAATCATGCCCATTAGGTGAAAACTCGCGCTCCCTGTCTGTTTCTTGGTGCTATTGTCCGGTCCGGCGCATTCCTCTGTTTTCATTCATCACCCTCCCCTTTCCCGTTCCTTGACTTCGCTCCTTCCGGCCGACTCACCTGTTGTTTGAGCATTTCTCTGTTTCTTTGCACCTTCAACATGCCGGCGCGTACCCTTTCCTCGGAGGACTCGATGTCCAAAAGAGGAGGCCTGACCCTGGCCCGACTCGTCGACTATGATGATCGCATCACAGATGCACTCATTGATCGCGTGAGTACTCGTCGCAATCATGAAAGTGCTCCGACCGGGACACTTACCGCCTACAGNGTCTACTTCTGGACGACCATCCGTAAGCTACGCACCAACCGCCCTCTTGGATCCCGGGGTATCAGAGAGGACGATGTCGCACGCATCCTGCAGACTCATGTCATCTTGAAGAAGGATGCCGCCACGGCCGCCCAGCATCTGTTACAGCTACCTGCTCTGGCTCACTACTTCAACACCCTCTCCTCCAAAGAAGAGAAGAAGCACTTTCAGGACCATTTCAGGAAATATGTCAACATCTATCTTCCCGACTGTCCGTTCGAAGTCACGACCACCAACCGCTACACCATCACCACCCACGAGGCTGCTACTGTCGCCCGCAAACCCATTCGCAGAAACGAGACCATCAGATACTTGACTGGAGTCCAGGTTGCCATGTCTGAAGCTGATGAGAAGTTTCTTGGTATAAACGACTTCAGTGTCGTCATGTCCAGTCGCAAGAAGCATCCGTCTCTATTCCTTGGTCCCGCGCGCTTTGCCAACCACGACTGTAACGCCAACGCTAAACTCATCCCAATGGGCCACAATGGCATGTCAATCGTTAGCGCTCGAGACATTGAAGTTGGCGAGGAGATTACCGTCACCTACGGAGAGGACTATTTTGGAGAAGACAACTGCGAGTGCCTATGTGCAACTTGCGAACGCCTACAACGAAATGGATGGTCAAGGCGACCACTAACGTCTGGGCGCAACAGCGCCACACCAGGACCGTCGTCTTCTATGCAGAACAAGAGGAAGTTCACGCCAGACATTACGCCCGCTGTTACAAGTCCTCCTTCGTCCAAGCGCTCGAAACTCCTCCACGTTCCATCTTCAACCCCCAAAGCGCCGCCACAGATTCCTACTATCAAAACAGAAGTCAGCATGTCCTCAACCTTGGAGGTATCACCGCAAGTTCCAACTCCAACTATAAAGAGAGAGATCAGTGCCTCTTCGACTTTGCGGATGGTCACTACCAACGACAGCGAAAGCGATACCTTGGGATCGGCATTTTTCAAGCCGAAACAAAAGCTGAAGCATCGTTATGGGAAGGTTGGCCGGCCATCTAAGCGGACGCACGAAGCCACACGCTCTAGCTCACCATCGTCGTCCACCACAGAAGACGTCTCACAGACATCCTCAGTTACAACGGATCCCACATCCGTTGACGAACCACCTGCCGAATCAGATCTTTCAGACCTTTCTGAAAGTTACGAATTGGACGACACTTTACGCGAAGTCATTCAACGGAAGCCCAGACCAGTCAGGATGACAACCAGACAAAGTTCCCGGCAACAACTCTCTATACCAATACCCACCATCGAGGGCACCGATTCAGATGTTGAAGAGGATTCAGCGGTGGATCGCAGGAAGCCTGGCGATTACACACTAACGGCTCGCCTGCTAACGAGTGCTGTGTCGCGCTGGGTCGAGTGCCGCAACTGTGACGATTATTTCATTCAGCACGAGGCCAAGCTGACGCGTATCAACTGTCCCCGCTGCGAGAGACACAGTAAACTGTATGGTTACGCCTGGCCCAAGACGGACAAGGAGGGCAAGCACGACACGGAAGAGAGAATACTCGATCACCGCACTGTCAACCGATTTTTGCATCCGAGCGAGGAGCGCACCACGAAGAAGAGTCGCAAAAGCTTGAGTCAGATGGTGTCCGAGCGAGAAAGAAGCTTGCGGGAGAGTGAAGAGGCCGAATCCCAAGAAGGCAGGAGGAGAAGCAGGAGAAGGTACAGCTCATAGCGCATTATGTATTATTTGTATTGATATATAGGGCATAAACTATTCATCATCTTTTGTCTCTTTCTTTTGATTACGACGTGAACTTGCTGAGCGAGCGGATCTTCTTGCCGTAGATGAAGAAGAGAATTGGAACTGGGAACAGGGCTACCGTCAGGAAGCCGAGGAGGGACATGGCNNCTGGAGAACATGTCAGCTCTGCTTAAGTGAGGACCATCAAACACGGTGTTCTTACCCAAGGAACTCCAAGGCGATTAAACATATAATTTGCAAACATTCTTTTCCCCCCAAAAGTTAGCTCTGTTCGGGTGAGGACTATTGGATACGGTTGTGCTTACGGAAATCCAGCTCCCAGCCATGATCTGAAGAATGTGTTTGCGGCAATGGCAGAGTTTGCGTTGACTTTGTAGACNNCTGTTGCAGAATCAGCATGTAAACATCAAGTGCTAGGGGCCGCACGACTTACGTCAATAATGTAGTTCAACCCTTGCAAGAAGATAAGCAAAACACCAGCACCGATGAAGGCTCCCGAGATGACCTGAGGCACCCAGATAATGTTTGGATTCGACGTCCAACCAAACCAAANAATTCCGATCGGCAGCAGAGCGCCGCCAACGATCATGGGAATCATTCTTTCCTCTGGCACGACATCGCCGGTCTCTTCCATCTTCCTGGCAAACCTGGTCTTGGTGAAGTAGGCGATAAAGCCAGATCCAAAGGCTACTCCGACGATGATGGCAGCGAAGGGCAGGGCGCCAACGCCAGCATTCCAACCGCGTTCTTGTTGGAAGGCGATTGGGTAGGCTTCGAAGCAGAGGTAGAGGAATCCGTAGATGAACCCCATGTACAGGGTCANCTGCACAGGAGAGTTAGCATGTGTCTGTTATAACAATGGAGAAACCATCTGCCGAGCTCTGGCATGCGCTGCTGCAATCTCGTCTTACGCACCTAGTATCAGGATTGGTTCCATGGCAAGCATTTGGAAAGGCTTGAACAAGTAACGATGTGCGATGTCCTTCAGGTCGACCTCGTTCTCATCGGACTTTGCGTGGATGGCCCAGTTCTTTGTAGCAAAACGGATCTTCTTTGCTCTACGCGAAAGCAAGACAGGAGCAAGAGNTCTGAACAGGTCAGCAATGTGAAGCATGTCGTAGACTTTCAGAAGGTTGCATACCTCAGGGATGACGATGACTCCGATGATTCCGAAGAACATGGCCATGATTAGTGTAATAAACGCAGTCCATCGCCAACCCAGGTAGCTCATGGTAACAAAGCCTCCCACAATCGGACCTGCCACAGGACCGATGAAAGTTGCCGATGCAAATACAGCAACTGCAATACCTCGATCGACTGGTCCGAACATNNACTACAGGTTCATCAGCAACGTTCTTCGAAGAAGAGAGCATCATGTTTCTCACTCTGCGAGCAACCCTCCAATGATTCCCAAGGGAGCCGATGCTGCAAAACCTCCGAAGAATCTACAAATGAATATTGTGTAAACATTTTGTGCGANCCTAAGGATTTGAAATGGTCAGCAAGGATCTTGTATGAAAGCAGAATGTAGAACACTCACAGCGACCGGGATCTGAAAGATGGCGAAAATGAAGAAACCTATGAAAAGAGGAATCTTGCGGCCAAATAGCTCTGAGAAAGGACTCCAGACGATAGGTCNCTACTTCTGGTCAGCAACAAGCAATCGGTAACACCTTTGTCACAACCCACCGAATGCAAAACCAAGAACAAACAAACTCGTTCCCAAAATCATGACCTCGCTGCTGACGCCAAAGATCTGCGATGTGACAGTAGTGGCAGTACTGAAAACAGATGAAGCAAAAGTCACGGAAAATGTCATCAGGCCAGCGACGACTGTGATCGTCCATTTCTTCCAGGCAGGAAAGTTCATCGGGTTGCCTGGATCGTCGGGACCGTCCCAGTCAACCAGATTGGGATCCTTTTCCTCTTCTTCTCCATCGTCCTTCTCATCATGCTTCTCATTGAGACTGCGGTTGGTACGTTCTCTTTGCATCTCGACATCGGCTTCAGAGCTGAAATTTTCTTCGTTCAATCCTGCTGTGAGACCTGCTGGAAGGCCAGTCTTGGTCTTGGGCTTGCGGTTCTGATTTCCGTCTTCCTTCGTCTCGCTAGGGCCTGAGATGCTCGATCTGGCTGAGTGTGCAGTGGTGGTTCCAGAAATGCTAGCGGCCCTGTTTTGATGCTGTGTCTGCTGTTCTGCGTAAAGAGGTATATGCTGATCTGAGGTCAAGAGTCCATCGGGGGCATAAGTCTGGCGGCCACTGGCCGTCCTGATAATGCCATCTCCATAGTTCTCAGCCATTGCGACTCAAGATTTTCGCGACAGGAAATCAGCAAAGAAATATAATGGGAGCTGTTTACACACCTACATCTGAGACGGGCACTCTACCCTTTTTCATCAAGGCATACACGTCCGGATTGCTCGGATGAAGACCCCTACACGAATTCATCATGAATCGTAGTGATGGAAGCTCGGAATGACGCCATGCGCCTAACGTTATCGATTTTTGGAATGGGTTTGGCAGAGCAAATAGGGAACGCCGTTGGGCTAGTTTTCCCTCGGAGCATTTCCATCTAATACTGGCTCAGTCTGGCTGCAGCTCGCATGCTGTCGGGGATTGATGACAAGCAAAAGGGTCTGGCAGAAAGTTATGCTCACTGGCACCACTGGTTGGAGCATTGCTATCCAAGGACCTTTACCCTTGTCTTCACGACACACACCTACAAACCTTGATGGCACGGAGCTCCAGGTGCAGTAAATTGGGCAGGTCGGTGACGACATTGTCGCCCGTGTGAGGTTTGTCGAGAGTCGAGACGGGTGTGGTCCAAGGTTGAGCTTACAAAAATCGCAGAGCCTCAAAACATCGTCACTGTGTGGCTTGCGCCTAGAGCCCAAACTTTAGTGCTGAATCCTTCGACGAGGAAGATATGGTGATATTGTGAATGTACGATGAGCCATCTACCGTGTCAGACGAGGCGGCTTAAGGCACGTTTGACGATGGATGCAAAGAATTCTTCCGTGATTGGCCAAATCATGTCCAAGCAGATCTAACATAGGCCGTCCTGGGATATGCTTGAATGCGGATATATAGTACAGGTATAATTTACATGAGTCGTCGGCGCTGAGCAGCGGGGCATACTTGAGTACTGGGAGTTCAGGATTGAGCCGGCGTGGGTTCTGGGATTGACTGCTTCATAGCTGGGGCCTCCCTGTCCACAATGGTGGCCTCTCTGGCAGGATCCGAGAAAGAGATGTCTCCACTAGCAATCTCGGAGTCGTGGATTCTGTCAAGATGTCTGAGATTCTTCTTCATGTAGCTGACGACGTTTGCGACAGCAGCGGCATCAACGTTCTCGTCGCCGCTGAAGACGTTTCTCCAAACAGCAGTAGCAAGGACAGCGTCACCCTTGACCAAACCCTCGTCGTAGGCGGCAAGCACACCGCGCCATTGCACAAAGAGATCCTTGAGGTACTTGTTGCGCACACTGCGAGCGGCGATGTTGTGCAAGGCTGCCATACGATCTTCGGCGGCGTAGAAGTAGTGATCGAGTAAGTTCTGGTGCCAATGGTGGGCGTGTTGTTGGGGAAACATTCTCAGTCGTACCGTGACGAGATACATGTGCAGGAAGGTGATTTGGGCCCAGGTGTTGAAGGTCGGGGTCAGACCCAGCTCTGTCAGGAGGTTAGCCAGCCGTGTATTGAGATCAGAAGTGTAGAAGCGAGCATTACCTTCGTACCACCAACCTGAGCCAACGCCCAGGTCCTCTCCCTTTGGCGACCTTAGCGTTTCCTCGCCTTCAGCGACAGTAGGCATGGTGTACTCTCCAGCGCGAGCACATGCGCGAAAAAGGTCCTCGGTAGCGCCGTAGGCGACATATGGTTCTGTGGCAGCCTTCATCTGCTTTTGTGCTCGCATGCGCTGAGCGAACTTCTGCATGGTCGACGCATCTGGACCGTCCTGGCCCTTTTCTGCTTCGGGACGGCTGGCAGTAGTCGTGAAGGTACGTCCTAGAAATTGGCTACGAGGCGAGAGACGGCTGTGAACGATGCGACCCTGGGAAAAGCGTGGTCAGAGGCTGCTTGACTNGTACCAAGGGAGCAGACTCACGTTGATCTGGCGAGAAGAAGCCTGTCTCAATGCGCGGACGCAGCTGTTGCAGACGTTGTTGGAAGCCATTGTATGATGATGCTATGTTTGGTGCTTGGACGAGTGCTTGTATGGGCAAAATTTCATGACCGACACATGCAGCTTACACATGCTCCCCCAGACGGTGGACCCCCCAATCGCTGACGACATCAACCACATCATCAAAGCATTCAATAGCCAAATCAATTTCACTGCATTGCAAGCGAGCATTTCATGTAAGCAAAAAAATCAATATGCATAATGAATGAAGCTCGTCACTAGATATGTTCAAAATCCCAGTCGCCTTCGCTTTTTTCGCCCAAACCCACTTTGACGCCCTCCTAAATTTTCATACAGCGAAGGTTAATCTATCTTGTCAAACAGCCAGCGCTTGACAAGGGCCCGGTCATGTAATAGGCCAATCATTGAATCATCTCTGTGTCGTCTTAGCGTTTGTCTGATAGAAAGATCCATTGTTACTCACGCGTCCTCTCCGCTGGCCACCACCACCAACCTGGCCTTGCTGTTGGGGGTAGTAACCTACAGGATACTGATATCCACCCATGCCCACACTGGGGTTGAATCCTGGTGGAGCGAATCCATTCTGTACAACATGTGCACCAGGGGCGGCAATGGGTGAAGCATTAAGGCTTCCTCTTCCATAAGGGTCCATCATTTGAGGCCCCCCTGGCCCGAAGCCATTCATTGGGGNGTAGAACCCGCCAGGGCGCTGAGCCGCGGCGTGCTGTTGAGCGAGCATAGCCTGCTGATACTGCATTTGCTGAGGCGTGACCGGCGAAATGTTCGACATCGCCGGACTATGAGTATAAGCCGGAGTCATGGGACCTGTGTTTCCATAGGGGTCGAATGCGTTGGAGTCTATACTGGCCGTCCTTTGAAGTGTAGATCCCATCATATGCTCGAGAGGCTGTTGAGGCGCCATGCCTCCATACTGCTGACGGCCATAAACGCTCTGGTTGTCGAGGTGTGCCATATGCCCGTTCGCACCAGGACCTCTTGACGACGATCTAGTCTGGCTAGCATCACGGCTGGCCGATGCTCCTCCATGACGGGTCGAGAGACCAACTTCGTCCATCAGTCGCTTGTAACCCTGCTGGGGTTGTGCCTTGAGGCGGAGCAACACGTTACGGACGTTTTCCAAAACCTCTGGACGCATCTTCTCGTCCAGGAAAGGAGTGGTAAGTACTTTGAAGATGAATGTCGCTCCGCAAGCCGAATCGCTGAGGACGTCCTGCAGAACAGTATCGTTGGGCGAGAAGAACAAGGCACGAAGAACCGCTTCACGCGCGTCTGCTTCGCTTCTCTGGTTTATGATCTTCAGCACGGTAAGGTATGCAACCTTGTGTGTGCACAGATGGACCAAGTGAGGTATAAGTCGCGGAGCCAGCACAGATCGGCGGCGAGGGAAAGTGCAGGTGTCCAGGAACCAGGTCAACAGCAAAGCACCGTTGGTGTTGGTTGCAAGCTGTACACTGTGAAGAGCGATGGCAGATGCTAACATTCTCTGTTGGTCTCTCGAAGCAAAGTGGCTTTCAAGACAAGCTCTCATGGCGCGAGCACCAAATCTGCCCTGGGCAACCTCCCACAGTCTTTGAAGCATGGCGTCGAAGATGAAATCATTGCCGGGAGCCTGGAAACGCAAGCAGCACTGGATAACGTAGTTACCATATTGGTCCAGGAACAACGCCAATGTATAAGGGCGCAATGCATCCACGATCATGTTGACCTGGGTGGGCGTCTTGGCAACATCGATAATCTTCTGAGCAGCCCAAGTGCCGTTCTTGTGAACACCAATCTCGGCAAGATGGGGAGCAATCTCGCGTAGCATGGCCTCCTTCACAGGTTCCGAGCAGTATTCAAACAACTTTTGTACGACCGTGTTACCTAGATAGTCAGAAGCAAGTTCGGCAATCTCAGGCAGCATATCCATGGCAATGTTTTCGATTTCGGCAGGCGAGCAGCTGTTGTTGTCGATGCGCTTCCTGATCTCGCGCAGGCGAGGAGCATCATGGACACGGTTTGGGCTAGGCTCTGGAACACCAGGTATCTCAGGATGATAAAGGTCATAGCTGATAGCTTGCTCAACGTTGGCGTTGATTCTGACCTGTTCCTCCTTGTTGGCACCAAGTTCCTGAATGATACCGTAGATTTCGCTGCGCATATCACGCAGGTTTGGAGTGAGCAAAGCGGCTGCTGCAGTCTCCGCATTGATGTTAATTGGCTTGAGTCCAGCCGAGTCGCCTGCATTGCCAACTTGATTGTCGCGAGCGAATGGGTCAGGACTGGGAGAGTGGAATGAGCCAGGTGCACCGGGAGTGACTGTGTTACTTGGGACCTTTGCATAACCAATGCGGATAGGACCAGCTCCAGGGAATATCTCCTTGTTGTTAAGCTGAGACTTGGCCTGAACAGCGCTCTCCAAAGTTTCAAAGTTCACAAAACCACAACTTTTGTGGGTAAGGACCCTGGTAGATTCGATAGGGCCGAAGTTGCCAAATATAACATTCAAGGAAGAAACGGTAGTCGAGGGTGGGATATTTCCGAGCCAAAGCGCACGTGTTGGGTTCTCGAGAAGGCTATCGTCAGAGACGTCAAGCATTGGCTTTTGATCCAGGTGCATCTGCTGCACGGCATCGGTTAGTCCACTGTAGTCGAGGCCTTCGTGCTCTTGGAAGTCGGATGCGGAAATGCTGTTGTCCAGGCGCGAAGGGGTGGGGATATAGTTGCGAAGAAGCCTGGACGAAGGAGAGTCGAGAACACCTGCGGTCCTCGCACGAGGCCTACTGGCACTGGCCAGATTGGTGAAGGCTTGGACCTCAAGGTTGTGCTGACGGACGGCCTCCTGAACAGCCAGAGCCTGTGCGGCAGTGATGTCTGCACCAGACGGGACGCCGTACATGCTTGCATATGCATCATAATCATCCTCCTCATCATCGGCATACTTTTCCTTGGCATTGACGGAATAGGATCTGAAGCGATTCGCATTCCTGTTATAAGCATTCAGAGCGGCAAGGTCAGCAATTGTTGGACCCGGGATGCCCGATTGACCGCCACCAATCATGTTAGAATGATGCGGTCTGCCAGGCTGGGGAGTATCGACAAGACCAAGGTAGTCCAAGGTTTTGACATCATTGTCGTTGAAAGAGTCACGCGAGGAATGTGCAGGTGACGAGGGGCCGTCAGAAGAGCGGATGCTCTGCAGTGTGGATGCTCTCTCTCGGCCAGAAGTCCACCCGTTGGAAAAGTAAGGTGGTCCGAAGCCGCCGGGTGTGTTGTTGAGAAGAGCGGGACGCTGGGGCATAGAGCCCGCTCTCAAGCGAGAAAGCAGCGACTTCTGGGAAGGGTTGATGGCAGAGGCCGTGCTCGTGCTCGACTCTGGAGGTGTACCGATGCTGGCCTGAAGAGGGCTGGTAGAAGGGGTTGGACGCGAGGTCTTGGGAACCAATGACGGCTGAGACGATTGGTGGTTGAGGGTACCGACAGGAGGGAATCGCGATGGCACGGTGCCTGCTCGCATGCGGCGACCTGTAGCGGGTGCTGTGGATAAATCGGTGGCGGATTGATCGAAGTCTGGAAAACTGTCGCTGCTGGGAGACTCTGGAATGGTCTCGCGAAGAGGAGTAGAATGGCCGCTGCCTGAGGTTGGGGGACCCCAGATCTGAGGGCTCACGCCTTCCTGAGCCTGAATCTCTCGAGCTCTGTCGCATTTATCGTCAGTCATTGTCGCTCTCGATATGTTTGGTAGAGGATGTCACCTTTTGCTGAACAGACGACTACCATATTCTTTTGAAGGAGAGCCAGCTCCAGACCTGTTGATCAAGCCAATAGCACCGGCAGAGGCCAAGCTGTTGCCCAGCGGATATCTCAAGCCTGAGCCCGAGGGAGGCTCGTTGGGTGAATTGGCAGTGGTGGACGAGGCCGAGCGAGATTGATAGCTGACTTGCGGCAGGTTGTCAAGGTTGATCTTGTGTTCGGGACGGGTGGGATGAGCCATGACTATGTGGACGCAGCAGGATGATGTAGTGCTGGGCTGGTTTGCCAGAAACCGAAGTGCGCTGGAGGGTCCAGTCTAGCTGGTTGTCGTGGATGCGTGAGATTTGAGGGGCTGTAGACTCGAAAGTGTCGATCGAAGCGGGCGACGATGTACAATCTAGGGCGGCGATGAGGACAGCGTGTCAAAGCTTGCGGGCAGAACAGCTGGGGCTTCCGAGACGGAACGGGGAGATACAGTAGCAGTCCTAGGGGAGAGGAACAGAGTGGAAACAGATGACGCGTGCCTCGATGAGAATATAGTATGAATGCGAAGGTCTTCAGGGGAACGCGAGCCAAGAAACGGGCTGGAGAAGCCACTCGGAGCGCTGAATGGTGTCGAGTGTAGAGCGTCGGGTCGATGCTATGCAGATGCGGATGCGGATACGGATGCAGATGCAGATGCAGATGGGTTCGATGCAGAAGGTTTGCACAAAGAATATGTACTGAGAAACGAAGGACGCACTGAGTGGGAGAAGCAGCTTGTGGAGATGTCAGAGGTGCAGCGCAGCACAGCTTTTGTCAACTTCCATCGAGTGTGGGGTTGTCTTTGACATCGCTTTGCAACCATCTTCCTCACTGTTGCATGGCAGTTTTACGAATACATCCGCCATGTGGCCTTGCAAAGATTAGTAAAACCTTCAGATTCGTTGCATATCCCTAGCCCATCTCGTTCGAGCAAGCGCTAGACAACGACCATCTGACCATGCTTATACGTAACCAAACATCGAGAGCTCTAATATATAGCTATAAAACTCGTGTCTGGTCGACTGACAGCTTTGAAATGAGACCGTGCTCGTTCTCAGAATCTCGGAGGACTAAAATCGATACCTTTCTGCACGCACCCAGCACGAGGCCGAGCAGAGGGAGCGTGTTGAGACAAGTAGGTGTTCTTGTGGATGTTCGTAACATGATATATACAGAAGCTAAGGGTAGAGGCAATTCAGTCGCCTCCAATTCATCAGACATTATAAGTCCGCTCGAACACTATTCGCAAATCCATTCTGCAGCTGGCACTGTTGGTGGAGAGGGCCAGACTCTTCCACGGATATCGAGATCAGCCATTGTACCAACCACGAGCACCAATGGCTGCTCCATTTCCACCAGTCCCACGATGAGGAATCAGCGGTTCGGTGATGTTGAATGCTTGTATCAAGTGCTGCCAGGTGCTGTAGTCTATGCTGAAGACAGCTTGATGCCGCATGGAGCTCTTTTCACGCTGTTGTGCTACTGTTTGTGGTATTGATGGTACNNTGGATGCTGTTAGAAACTCAATAGTTCGCCAGTCTCGTCGAAGCGACTTACCCAAGGTAGGCAGTCCATTATCATCCATCTCTAGACCAACGTTACCTTCTTTGATCAGAAAGCTGATGTAGAAGATGTTTTCCACAGTTTGACCAAAACTGTGGGGGTTGATAGCGAAGTCAAATAGACTCGGTCCAGAAGTAGGAGTAATTCGATGTCGCTTCATCTCTGCTAATGCTTGGTCGTCATCTAGTTCGCCGAGGGCTTCTACTGCGGTCATAGCGGTCGCGCAATGGTCGTCAAGGATCTTCTTGATGTTTTGACATAGTGTTGTCAGGGCATTGTTCTCATTGGTCTGGAGGTCTCGTTCAGTAAGAGCCTCTGGCCGGACTTCCTTGATGGTGGAATCTTTTCGTTGGCGAGCACGACGTTGAGTCTGAGCACGAACTTTCTTCTGGACAGACAGCGGACCAAGTAAAAAGCTTGGAGCGGGTGGTCGCAAGTTGTAAGGAAAACAAGCGTGTGTTCCGAGATGGGCCCAATCAAGAACATCGTTGGGGTCCTGATCTTCGTCCTCCTCCTCGTCATCGTCATCGCCGCCGCGACGGCTCTGCCTTTGTCTGCGGCGTTGAGTTGATGTGGCAGAAGCGTTGGCCTGGTCGTTCCTCATGAACTTGATGCATTTCGAGACGAACTCGTCAACATCGACACCAGTAGAGTTGTCGCCGAGGGTGAGCTGAGCGGATGCCTTCAATAGCATATCGGAGATACCGACGAACAAGCGGGAGTCGACAGTCGCATCCGATGTTTGCTTGACGCCATTAAAGACCTCATTTGCTCGATCAATGACGGACTCGAGCTGACCGCCGTCTTGAAGGTAAACATCTCGGTTCTCTGGTAGATGTTAGTCTGATTGCCAGCAAGAGTAGGATACATAAGAACAAGCACCATTGAACTCGCGCTCCAGGGCACGGGATTTCTTTTTTACTTCCTGGCGCTCATGCTGGTCTTGGGTAGGATCGTAAAAGCGTGATTCATTGGGTTCCTCATGGTTGGCAGCGGAAGCAGTAGGACGAGGTTGAGTTCTCCTCCTCTTGGCAGAGTGAGAATCGGATGTGGACGACTGCATGCGGCCTTTTCCTTTATCGCGAGGAGCTGAAGTCGCCTGGTTTTCTTTATCGGACGAGAGATTCGGAGGAGAGGGCGCGACGGAAGGGGGACCAGCAGGAATGTTCGATGAACGGGCGGGAGTCTCGGAAGGGCGTTGGTTTACACGAGCCATCGCTCAGCGAGAGCTGCGACAGTGAACAAACAGATAGGCGACGACCAGCAGATACAGCAATTCGACCAGGCAGGCAGAGCAAGATCGCGTCCTGGGGAAGCTGCGGACAATTAAGGTACACGCGACGGGCACGCGTTGGGCCAATCAGGCAGGAGCGGGTAAGCATCACGACGGCTTGGCGCATCGATCGTCATAGCCAAGTGCTCCGACAGTTGGATCGAGACGAGACCATCTTGCATGGCCCGTTGTTCTTGTATTCCCTGACCACTTTCTCTCCTTTCTGTCGCGACACATACAAACATGAGTCTCCGCGCACCTCTCGGTCTCTCACGGCGGGCATTGCCTGCCCAGATTGCAAAGTATGCCGCCACGCAGCAACAATCCATGGCTACTGTCGTGCCGCCTGTCACCCAAGACAACACTGGCTCCAAGGGCCCCACCGCCATGGTCTTTATGAACATGGGCGGCCCTTCGACTACTGCCGAGGTCGGCGACTTCCTCAGCAGGTTGTTTGTGAGTGTGCCATCTCGTCTTCTTTAGCCTCTATCGGCTGCTTACTCGCAATCANNGGCAGATGGCGACTTGATTCCTCTCGGCAGACTGCAAAACTACCTCGGTCCTCTCATCTCCAAGCGCCGTACTCCCAAGATTCAGAAGCAATACGCTGCAATTGGCGGCGGTTCGCCCATTCGCAAATGGTCCGAGTACCAGAGCTCCGAGATGTGCAAGATCCTCGACAAGATCTCGCCTGAGACTGCCCCTCACAAACCTTATGTCGCTTTCCGCTACGCCGCCNNCCCCCTGACCGAGGAGATGTATCAGAGATTGTTCGATGATGGTTTTGGTAACGGAAAAGGAGGCAGAGCTGTCGCCTTCACCCAATACCCTCAGTATTCGTGCAGCACCACTGGAAGCTCCTTGAACGAGCTATGGAAATGGCGCCAAAGACTCGAGACCAAGCGTGCGGGCGGTGAGGTTGACGAGGCTGGCGCCATCACCTGGAGTGTCATTGATCGCTGGCCTTCGCACCCTGGCCTCATCGAAGCCTTTGCTCAAAACATTGAGACCAAGTTGCTCGAGTATCCTGAGGAAACAAGAAAGGACGTTGTGCTGCTCTTCTCGGCTCACTCCCTGCCCATGAGCGTGGTCAACAGAGGCGATCCATATCCTGCCGAGGTGGCTGCTACCGTCTACGCCGTCCAACAGCGCTTGGGCTTCAAGAACCCTCACCGTTTGGTCTGGCAGTCTCAGGTCGGGCCTTCTGCCTGGTTGGGTGCTCAGACCAGTGACACCGTGACAAACTTCGTCAAGAGAGGGCAGAAGGATCTCATCCTCATCCCCATTGCCTTTACCTCGGATCACATCGAAACCCTGTTCGAAGTCGATCAGGAGATCATCCACGAAGCCAACGAGTTGGGCGCAGAGGGTCGTGTGAAGAGAGCAGACTCCCTGAATGGCAGTCCTGTTTTCATTAGAGGTCTGGCCGAGCTTGCGAGAGATCACTTGGCGAGTGGCGATGTTGGCAGCAGGCAGTTGGGTTTGAGGTGTCCTGGCTGCACCAGCCAAAGATGTCTGGAGACCAAGAAGTTCTTCATGAAGCAAGAGGCGTTGCTTTAATCGCAGACCTGACATGATCGAAACTTTGTAATCTTAGGAAAATCACGATACCCTTTTTTAACTATGTCTGTTTGAGCCTGTACAATCCCATGTTGTTCCTAGCTTATGGCAAGATCTGACTCCTCGCATGCTTAAGCTGGTCACTCTCAACCTCCTCCTCCTCCAGAATATGATGCAGAGCTGTGTATTAGCCACGGGGATACACATGTCATGGAGAACATACAACATCATGGACAATGTGAACGTGCCTGCGAGCATGGCTGGTGGAACAAGAAAATATAGACAAGTCAGGGGAAATTGCTGTAAAAATTGGTCACTATCAAATTATGTACATTGCTTCGTTGCTTTGCAACTGTATTCTCTTGACCGACAATCATGAATCTTCGTCTGCTGCGGCCTTCTCAAGATAGACATGTGGTCGGATGAAGAAACTGAGCACAAATGCCAGGCCGAATGTGGCAGTGAGGCAGACAAACACGGTTTGTGTAAAATTTCCGACAGTCGCCGAGTATATAGCATTGAAAATGGTAGGAGCGATAACTCGGGCCAAGGCATGTAGAAGTCCAGACGCACCGAGCAGTTGGCCGGTCTTCTCATGGGGAACATGCTTGGTTAGCGCTGACTGAAGAGTTGGTGAGCCAATACCTCCGATGCTTGCTATGCTGCCGGAGAGAATCATCAGCGGACCGGTACGAGCGAGGGTATATCCAAGGTATCCCAAAGTATCGAAGAAGACCGCGACGCGGACGACGACAAGATCGAATGTATCACTACCGGAGCTACGCTGCTTGGTCTCGCTTGCCTTGCCGCGAACATATCGTGTGACCAGCGGTAAGACGACAATAAGACACAAGACTCTACAAGTATTGACAATGGACAAGAAGATACCAGACTCGAACGACTCCCAGTTGAATTGGTAGCGGGCGTAGATGACAATGATTGTCATGCTTCCCATTGCAACACCAAACAAGATGGTATCAACAGCAGCTAAGAGCACAAGGTTGCGTCTGAGCGCAGGTGAAGAACCCTCGCCGGTAGGCCACAAGATCTTGAGCGGCTCCAGGATGTTGACAGCTCGAACCCGATCGATCCAGTCAGAAGAGCCCCTTTGAGCCTTGTCTTCTTGATGCTTCTCCCGAGCGGCATGCTGGCGACGCTGAGAGAGTGATTCGGGGACACAGAAGGCGATGAAGAGGATGAAGGCTGCGTGTACAGCAAGCGAAGCATAAAATATGGACAGGATCTTTCCTGTAGCCTTAACGATAAGTCCTCCGAGGATAGGTCCCAGTGCGATACCAGTGAAGAGACAGCCATGGAGATAACCAAAGGAGATGTTACGGCGGGCCGGAGGAGTGCAATCGGTAGCATAGGCGTTGGCGATGGCCATGGCGGCAATGAAGGAGCCAGAAAGACCATCAAGAGCATAACCAACCAAAATCCAGTTGACTGGGAAGGTCTCGGGCTTGGTAGCAGCCATGATGATCAGGGCGTCGCCTGCGATGATGCCCATACTTGTCAGGGCCAGGATCTTTGTGCGGCCAAAGCGATCCGAAAGAGCACCCAGCTTCGGGCTGGTGATGGCTGAGAGAAGTCCAGCAATCAGATTTCCGTACAGGGTGAATTGTGCGACCCTGGCCTGCACTTCTGGAGATCTGCACTGAGGGTTCTCGCCCTCGAACAAGATGGGCAAGAAAGAATGGCCGGGATTCTTGGTCTGCTGCTCGGACATGTATTCGCGACAGACAAGGTTGAGGATGAGATTGATCCTTGGGGATATGATGGCACCGAACGCCAGAGTCATGACGAAGAAGGGTGCCAGGACAAAGTAGATGGAAGGCTTGCGGTACCATGGGAGGTGGTCGAAGTCGGCGACACCAGCCCATTCGTGGCCTGAACCAGCATCACTCGGTCTTCTTTGGCGGGATTCAGAGGGCAGCAATGGGTCCTGCTCGTCTGTGGCCACTCGTGAATCTATGCCTCCTCTTGCAATGGTAGTGTTCTCTTCGCCCGAGTGAGTGCTGGCCGGCCGTGACCTGGAGACGTTGGCCTTTTTCGACCTGATTTCAGCTTCGCCAATGAAGGCTGCATCCGTGTCGTTGTCCATGTTGCCGCCCTCGGGTGGTCAAGATGTGCCGGGGTTTGGCGACGAGTCGTGGTGGACGGGAGGGTTTGCAAAGTCGCAACAAAGACTTGGGGCACAGGGGAGAATCTAAGGATGCTGGGATTGGTAATCCATCAGGGAAACTCTGTGAGCGCGGCAGCTGGCCAACATCCTGATCCCTAGCTTTCCTTTCGATGCACCTTTACCCAGATAACGACGCGGGCTAATGGTCCCCCGAAAGTCTACACGTAATGATCCGCGCTTCTCTTTCGCACGCGAGCCTCACTCTCGCCAATCGCTGGAGCCGCATCGCATACAAACTTGGCTGTCTCCCACACTACTGTCGTGCTGATGACCATGATTCGGCCACTGCTTCGCTGTGTCAGCAGCCCATTCACTGCTTCAACGCTGCCTGTATCTCATCTGGTAGTCGTTGAGGCTCTGCATCTCCCATCTGGTTTGTGGCGCACCCTCATGTACCATGACGCGCTGCTAACTGCTATCGGCTTGTCGGCCACCGAGGCCCGATCAAGATGCAGCCGTGGTGACCCTGGCGGTATATGAACTGATTATGAATATCATACTCGATTCCAATAATCTTATCATGTACTGAAGGATATCACACTGTAACATGTAGATGCATGATAGCTTCGAGAATAGAGTCAAGTCCCCAGATAAGACGTCGTGTCAAGGGGTCTATGGCCACTATTCTATTTCGATAGCAATGGTGCATATCTTTTTTATCCAACAGTGTTATCCAGGTCTGCAGAATGAAGATAGTCTGAAACGTCCAAGGAAGAACAATGTTGGTCGAGATTTGCGAAGATGAACATGTGCAATATATACGACTACCCGTAGGCAGCATATCACCATGTCTCTTGCTTATAACGGCCATCTTTTTCCATCTGATCAAGATACCCGTTTGCCTTTTCGGCTTCCATTTGGCCATGTTCTCTGAGCACATCTGACAACGCCTCACGGACCCCTTTAGGCATGTTTCCAGAGGCTCCACAAACATACACCTTGCCTCCATCTCGCTCGAGCACTTGGTAGACAAGACTCGCTTGTTGACGAATCAAGTCTTGAACATATGCCCTCGGCTTGTCTTGGTCGCGCGAGAACCCAGGGAATACAGTGAGGCCTTGGCCTGTAAGATCCTGCCATTCGTCACGGAAGAAATAATCCGCTTCCTCTTTGCGGCAGCCGAAGAACAACACACTGGGCTGCCTCGAGCCACTCTCTCTTGCCCATTCCAAGCGCTCATAAACCATCGATCGCATTG